ACTCTTGCTCGGCATGTCTCAAAGTCTGGGCTTGATGTGGAGCAGCGGGACCATAACCATATGGCGAAGGGTGTGCGGGTTGTCTCGAGTGGTCTTTGGCAGAAGGCGAGGTGTGGTCTTGTAAATCAAGGGTATCTAGCATCATGACGTGGTGAGCAGACTTCCTGGTTACAACAATGTCATTCCCATTGATGTGAGCTTACCAGCTCTGACAAGCTGCGGCTTTAAAGTGGTCATTGCGCGAACCATCTATGTGGGCAGACTGGGTGTCGCGTAGAATGTCCGCCCACCAGATTCGACGGGACTCGAGTCGATACAGGTCGCATAGAGACACTTTTGAAACCGGCCAAGGAAACAGGCGCAAATGAGAGGTTCTTCAAGTGTGCAGTGATCGAGAGTCAGGGCGAATGAGAGAGGTCGTGCGGAAACGTATCCTCGAGACCAGACGCGGTAATGACAGTGAGGGCGCAGCGAGGGCCACCTTTTGTGCTCGAAGACGACTTCAGCGACGCGCTGATCAGCAAGGAGGAGAGAAGAGAGCGAGACTCCTTTGGAATGAGGGTGGCAGGCGCGAGGCGCAGGCGCTGGATTGCCGAAAATAACGGTTTGTCGTGTGGCAACGGTGCGATAGATTCAAGAGACAATAATGAAGGAGCAGTGGGTAAAAACGAAGCCCTGATTTCCCCTGTCAAGAGCAAGCCATAATTGAAAAGAGCGAAAAGGGAAAGGAGGATGTTGTTTCAGGACTTGGTTCAAGGGCAGGGAAGCCGCCAAGCTGCCCCGCTTTCCAGGTTGTGGGCCGCCCGGCATACCGACACCAGGCCTAGGGACTGGTCTGAAGGACGTTTTTGTGGGGATCACACAACCCAGCACCCGCCCGCTGGGTGCCGTGGGTGCCCAGATGCCGCCTGCAGCAAGAGGCAGGGCACCAATTATCGAGATGCCCACACGGTTTGTCATTGTCCAAAAGGGCATTTCATCATTTCGTAGCCATCGATGAGCTGATTAGGTCCGGAGAAGGTTTTCTTTTTTCTTTATCATTTTCATTCTGTCATCGCATGTGACTGGTTTGTTGCTTTTTTGTCCTTTTTGGACAAAAGCTGGGGGCACAAAGAGAATCATGGGTTTGAGTCCCCGTCTGAAACGGTACTCTCCGCCACGGGCCAGGCCTATCCTAGGCGCCTTTAGCCCTAGGAAGGGTGCCCAGTGCCCAGTGCCCACCGTGCCTTAATGCCTTTCACTTTGACTGCCCCGACCTCGGTGTGATTCCCTGCCAATTCCTGCCAATATTTTTTCTCTCATCGGACCAAGATTTGCGCGACTCGCCAGGCTCTATGCCCCACGTGCAAGTCCTACAACACCACCACTTTTTCTTCAAGTCTATGCATGCATGCGTTCACCACCACGACCCTTTGCTCCAGGTACTCGTATGGAGATCAGCTCGTCCGAATTGTGAGACCTACCGGTCTCTCCGATCTTGCCAGCCAAGCAGTTCGCCACTCAAAAATTCTTCTGCGCGCTTCCGACAAGCTGAGGCGCATCTTCCGGGTTCCTCCTGCGCGTAATGGCGCAGGCTGACACCGGCCAACTTCTCCAAAGCCTGCGCCTGAGTTCCCAGAGTCATGAAGATAGCATCGACCACAATGTGTCCTCCCCCCCGAACGACATCTCCGGAGAGGTAAACGGGTCCCCAGATAAGTCTCCTGCACCATCCCGCCCGCCGTTCAAAGGCTCGGGTACAAGTCAAGACACCATTCGCCCGACGGCCACCCCTCCTGTGGACATACCGGCAACCAGCGAATTTCCCGCCATCAGCGGAGACTCTACGAGCCCTTCCGCATACATAGATCAGTTTATGCGACGGCGGAATCCGTCGGTCAGCTTCAACAATGAGATCAAGCTTGACTCGGGACATCGTCAGAGCATGCAAGAGCCTTTAGAGAAGCCCTCAAAGGCTCGCGAGCGTGGACGTTCCTTGTTTCAAGCTATGGCAGACGCCCAGAAATCGTCCAGGGCGCACAGTGAGTCAGAGCGGTCACACTATGATCCCATCACAGGCCGGCACCTTCCCAGATACTCCCAAAGCCCACCGAGGGAACAAGCGCGTATCGGAGAGGGCCGTTTTCCCTTACTACAAACCACGGTGGACGCGCTAGCAAGAGAATCCCAGCCCGATTTTCGGCACACCATGTCGATGCTCTCTGATTCTGCGCTGTCTCCCGATGAGCAAGCCGTCGTGGCTCCGGATGACGAGAACTATTTGCTGTCCCCTACGGCAGCTTCACCGTTTACAGGACAGGCGTTCTCCTACGACGATCCCAAACCATTTCGACGCACTGCGTCACAGAGGTGGCGAGAGGGCGACACCAGCGCCTCTCCGCAAGACTTCTTTGCGCGGGCAGGGAGTCTGCGCAATAAAAGTATGCGAGATATCGCGAGCCGGGCATCTCGGCGAGACACATCGGGCTCTGCCACACGGTCACCAAGATCAGCGGCCTCTTCGTATTTGCGAGCATTTTCCATGAGCAGCGGGACGAATGGTGAGGGAGCTGACGTGGGACCGCTCGCCTGTGATTCTGAGGGCCAGACCATTGGCGATGACTACGTGTTGGGTAAGCAGATCGGGTTTGGCGGTTTCAGCACGATTAGACAGGTGACGCAGCTCCAAGACAGTAAGCACCGTCTACTGGCTGTCAAGATCGTCCGTCGCCAAATCGAGGGGAAGAATGAGACGGAGAACGAGCAAGCCCAAGCTGAGTTTGAACATGAGGTTGAGCTATGGCGGTTCCTCAACCATCCCAATGTCCTTCCTCTTGAGGCAGTCTACAAGCTGGACGATGCCACTTTTTGCTTCATCCCCCTCAACACCGGCGGCACGCTCTTCGATCTTGTCCGGGCCAACCGCAAAGGGGTTCCACAGGAGCTTTGCAAAAGCTATTCCTATCAGCTGGCCTCGGCACTGCGGTATCTCCATCTCGACGCTCGAGTCGTTCATCGGGATGTGAAGCTAGAAAATTGTCTGATAGAGCCCAGCAGCGATGGAGGGCCAGGTCTTCTTCGCCTCTGTGACTTTGGTATGGCGGAATGGCTCTCGACAGACGGCATGTCCGGACCACCGAGCCCCGAATTTAACGATGCTGATCGACCTCCTCGGAAACACATCGGTCCAGCCGACACTTCAACCTCTGCCTTCGCCGGTGGTAGTCTGGAATATGCCGCACCGGAGATCCTGCGCATTGCGGAACGTATCAAAGCTGATATCTCAGTGGAGCGGGCCATTGTGTCGCCGGCGGTTGACATCTGGGCCTATGGTGTCTGTGTCTACAGCATGATTGTAGGCTCGCGGCCCTTTCACAATTCATTCCAACCCCGTGTGGTCATGGCAATTCTAGGTGGGGATTGGAACCGTGCCCTTCTTTCGGATAAAGGCGGAACCGATGCTCACGAGCTTGTGAGTGGGTGCCTTGAGATGGAAGAAGGCCTGCGCTGGGACATAACGAGAGTGGTCGACTGTGCCTGGCTCGAAGAACTCGCCGGCTCTGAGGACAACCAGCAAGGTATGAATGGATGGCGACTATGATGAGAAAGACATGAAAGAAAAAAGAAGTTTTAATTGGATGGAAAGGATACCAGCTCTGTTTTGAGTATGGGGTTCCTTTCTGCTATGGCACGACACTCAGGGTCCTTTTTCGCTGTGGTTTTCGGCACCTCGTGGGACGCTTTTCGGGACGGACTGCGACGTGGAATATATGTCCATCAAATCATCCGCGAGGAGGACGACGGCGTTTGGATCGAGCGTCGTGTGGGAACGAATTGGCGGGACTTGATCAACTTGACGACTGCTACGAAATGAATCTCTCTCTTTTCTTTGGGTGACTTTTTTGCTTGTGCAATATTGGCGGCAAGGTGGGAATTTTTTTTTTTGCTCCGGGCGGAGACAGAGAGTTCATGTGCTTTGTGAGAAGAGCAAGCGAAATGTTGATGTACCATTTTTTGTATACTATGATTAACGGACGGTAAATTACAATTCCAGACTCAGACTCAGACTCAGCCTCGGTAAATTGGGTAATTAAATTGATTATGGGTATTTCTGTACTTGTATAGTTTGACTTGCACTCTTGAGACTGCAAGCCTAGATGCCTTTTTCCCCGCCGTTGATAAAGGGCTCATCAGGGCCGATACCTGTACCTGTACGAGGTATCTTGTATTTCGATTGTCAGATCTTGTCCTCGCAAAGGGTATACAAGTCTGTGGATGGAATAGTCCGTGTAGTATACGAGTATATGACCATGGATGTATATAAACGTGTGTATATTGGGTGTTCAGATCAGCCACTTCCCCCTTCCAAAAAAAGGCCGTCCTGGGTATTCTGTCGTGAGAGAGTTACAACGTACAAGTGAATGTGAGTGCAGTCAGCCGCCCGTACCACCTTTTCAAGTCCCCGTCCCCCGTCCCATCTCCATTGTTGTACGAGTAGGCAACTTACCCCGGGTCTTGGGGGTACAACTACCCCAAAGAAACTTCCTCCTTGCTTGGAGATACAAATAGGTACCCACCCAGCCACCCACCTACCACCCAAGATCCCAATAATGACCCTAACCGTAAAAGGCACTGGATCCGCCTCATGCCTCACATCTCGGTGGCAATGGACCGAGCAGCTCGCAGGCGTGTCCCTCTCCCCTCTTCTCCTCGTAATCCTCACTTCATCCTCATCGATGGACAACCTAGGTGCTAGGTTGACTTCTACCATGGCAGGAACCAAGTCGGTCCATGTTATTAAACAAGCTTGAGTGCCTCCCAAAATCCGAACCTGCCAGGATAAAACGAATGGAAATTTGCAAAGGAGGGAAAAAGTGGGAAATACCTGCCCTGACTGCCTGTCCCACGTTAACGCCCAACCCAACCCCTCTTCCCCTCTCCCTCATTCCGCGTATATCGCGCCTCGTCAGAATCACAAGTAGCGAGTTATTGGGTATAATCCGCGTGCGATTTTTCTCTTCTCAAGCAAATACCTTTCGCAGCTCCTCGCATATATTCGTGATGGCCGTTCTGCCGGCCTCCAGAACGGCATCCATGGCCAAGAAGGGGTGCGGCATGCCCTCCATCACAGTGACTTGGGCGTCGACGCCGTTGGCGCGGAGTCGTCGGGCGTACTCCTCCCCGTCGTGCCTGAGCACGTCGAGTTCCCCGACGATAATGTATGAGCGGGGCAGGAGCGCAAAGACGTCGTCCGGGGCTAGCAGCGGTGAGGCCTCGAGGTGCGACCAGTCAGCCTGGTTGGGGAGGTAGTGGTGTCGGTACCAGAGCATCTTCTTGGCGGGGAGATGCGCCGTGAACTCATACTCCTTCCAGCTCGGGCTTGAGTAAGGCGTCGCCGTGTTGTCCGTCACAGGCACCACCAGCACCTGCGACCGGATCGAGACTCCCGGTGGTGCCCGCAGCGCAGCCTTCTGGGCAATGACGGCCGCAATGTTGGCGCCAGCCGACGCGCCCGTGATGGCGACCTTGTTCAGGTCCAAGTCGAGCCGACTCTCACCTTGCGATGTCGACCAAAGAAAGACCTCCCATGAGTCATGAATAGCTGCCGGCCAGGGTTCCTCGGGGGCGAGCCTGTTTCCCTCCAAAAGGAATCAAAGAGGCGAAGTCAGACAGAGATCCCTAGCATTGGAAATGCTCACCAAATGAAATGGGCGTATTTCTTTTGGGGTTAATTTCTGTCGCTTTTCCCCCCTTCAACCCTTGCGAAGGACAAAGGAGCCCAATTCACGGGAAATGATGGGTGGGTTCTAACCTATAGTCAGTGGTGATGACCACCGCCCGAGCTCGGACACAAATGTTGGTGCACACGGTGTTTTCGGTGTCGATATCCCCGAATACCCACCCTCCGCCATGGTAATATAGCACCAGTGGCCAGCCCGATCGAGGGGCTTTCCCTGGTGGGGTGAAGCACCTGATGAGGACGTCGGGCCCAGGGGTCTCCTGTCGCGATATGGAAACGTCCTGCACTCTGCCCACGGGGAGGGGCTTGCTGTGGCTGGGAGGTACGGTCCGAGATCCTCGAGCCACCGAGATGGGGAGGTGGTGGACCTGTTGTGCATTTAGGATGTATTTGTTGTAGAAGGCGACGTATTCGGGGTGCAGTCTGTCCTTGACGCTGGGATGAAGAGGGTAAGGTGGTTGGTGTAGTTCGGCGACCATTTCGACGGGGTGCAGTGTGTTAGGAGGTATTCGGTGGATGAGAGGAGTAGGCATGAAACTGATTAGGAGCCCATTGAGAGAGGAAAGTGGTGTGGAAGAGGAGGTGTTGGTGGTGTTGGTGAAAAGTGGTGGGAAGAGATTTCGTTGCGGTTCTGGTTTCCTTTTCAACCGATATAACAACCACCCATGATGTTTGTATCAACTTTATTTATTCGTCATTGTAACTTCGGGCCAAAGTATGTTCCGCAAGTGAAACTCAGGGAGAAGAGAGAGAGGGCGAGAAAAGGGCAAGAAAGACAAGCTCGCCCAAAACTCAGGTAAGTACCTAGTTACATTTTAACAGAGCTTCCCTTCGCTCCATTTACCCTCAACCCCCAGACCCAGACCCAGACCTCTGCGAGTAGACTAGATCCTCGATAGCTGCCAGACCGTGCAGTACCAAGGCCCCGAGCCAACCGGCCAACCACTCTGGCGGGATCAATGTCATTTGGACTACACTATAGCTAGATGTGCTAGACCAGGAACCCACATTTGTGGTGTTGATTGCTATTAGCGGACCCGGACCTCGTGGTGTTGTTTGTTAGAGATTTAGTTCCTTGTCCTAAAGTAGTACGAGGATGAGGAACCCGTAGTTACACGAGCAGCGTGACGAGGACCTGGTAGGACAGGTACAAGGGCGAGTGTGAGTGCGACGATGCATATTATGGTATGGAAGGCACGGTTTGTCATGTGGGGGGGACTCGCACCAACTCTCGGTTTATTTCCAAAAGGTTCCAGCCTGCTGGGCTCATCCGTCCCCGGTCTCTTCCTCGTCTTTGTTTCTGCTTGCTCCAGCGGTGAACTAGTAGGAGTAGATAGGTAGATAGGAGGAGGGAGGAGGAGGACGTGGAAGAATATCCGTTATCCCAGGTGCCCATCCATTTGTTCCCACAAGTACCACCTTCACCCTCAAAGCAAACATCCATTTTGTCGCTCATCTCCGGATCTGACGGTTTCCATTGGTTGTGGTGATGCTGACAAGGCCATTCACAGTCACGGTTCCAGGTGCGACTGATACGTGGGAAAACGAGGACAATGAGAGAGAGGAGAGGTGAGACTGTGAAACTGTGAAATGTGAATTAGCATGTGTGTGTGTGAGTAAGAAAGAGTGTGAAAGATGCAAAGCGACCTTGCATTATCATCATCCATGGCTCGGCCCCCGCCGTCGCCGCCACTGCCGCCGCCGCATCCACCGTTTTTGCTTTTCCATTCATCCATCCATCAAGGATCAAGGGGAGCTTGAGCCAAACTCTTTTTTTTTTTCCGTGTGGCGGAGAGAATTGGTTGCAAAAAGTGGAGTCGTGTTGGAGGTAAACGAGTCTAGCGAGTCTAACGAAGAGTATGTACAAGGAATACCAAGGGAGTACCTAGAGGGGGAGTGACAAGGAGTAACAGGGATGGTCGAGGTGCCACTGACAAGATGCAGACTGACGCCTACACTGATCAACACTGACCAGGCTCTGCAAGTCCGAGAAGACTCAGTCACGCTACCTATGGTGTCATGCTGTGCAACTGAACTTGTCTCCCTTGTCTCCCCAATAAATTCCAATGGGAATGATCGAATGGCTTTGGGGTCGATACTAGGTAAGAGGTACTCGGTACTCGTCGGGGGTTGGCCTGGCCTAGCCTGGTAGCCCTTGGATTAGCGACCATCTATCTACCCACCTGCCACACAGGGCCTCACCACCTGCGACGAGAGACTAAGTAGGTGCTAGGTAATGAGCACTAGGTACAGGAGGTACCGAGGGTATGTATGTAGATCACTGATCGCTCTTTCGTCCTGATGTCCCGAGTTGTCTTCATGGTAGGACATTCGCGGTAAAACTTCCCTGTCATCTGCAACCTGCCTGCGACCTGCGACCTGCATACCTGGAAACAACCGAACCGACCAAACAATCCACAGCTTCTAACTCGAAAGCCCCTCGCAGGCTTGCAGCAACAAACAACATCGTCGTGCACGTCCTGCATCTTTTGCCGAAGCGCAGAACGAATCGGAGAAGTGCACGGCCCCTGGTTTGCCGTTGTTGTTTGCTGCTTGCTGCTTGCTGTTTGCTTCGTCTCGTCTGCGGGGCACAAGGTACTGTAGGTACGTACAAATTAGTGGGCGCAGGTTGCATGTCGCTGCATGTACCATGTACTCAGGCACTCAGGGTACCTAACTAGCGTGCTGTGAGGCTGTGCAGATTCATTCGAGACCAAGACCAGCAGTCTCCTTCTCTTCTGTTCTCTACTCCCCCGTATCCCCGTCCCTTGGCCAGGAATTCAAGTTCAGTCGCTTCCTACTCGGTACAAGTTATTCACTTAACTCGTCAATTTCGCCATGGGAGTTACTCGGTGAAATGCCAATGTTTGGGCCATAAGTGGCCATTTTCCAGGCGGGAGATCGTCTTGGCCGCAGATTCAGAGTACTCATAATGTACCGAGTACGTACACTCCCTACGAGGTATCTCTGGATGTACCACTGTCTACCTTACTACTATACCACCATATCCGGGCTGAGTGTCCAGTCCACCATCTTCCCCAAAGACATTACTCGTACGTACTCAGTACACCGAGAAGAAAAAGAAAATAAAAGAGGGTCCTTCCCATTTCCTAACCGATATCTAGCGAGAGCGGTCCAGACTTTGGCGCCCCGTGCGTCCCCCAGAAGTAAAAGTAACGAGACAAGTACATATGACGAGGCACTGAGGGCTGCCCCTGGCCCATGGTGGTTCTGGAGGCCCTGACCCTGGCACTAGAAAATCAAGGAAAATAATTACGAGAGATCGTCGTCGAGCGAGGGAGGGAGGATCTTCCCTTCCCTTGCCTTCCCCTTTTCTCTTTTTCCCCATTATTCTTACCTCCGTGCCATTCATTCCCTCGGAGAAATGGTCCACAGTCACCCACCCACCCCCAATATGTACTGTAGGTATGTCATGCTGGTCGTGTCATTGTCAGAGCGGGGGTACGGTGGCACGGTGGTTTGAGCGCATGTGTGGTGGTCTTGTGTTCCATTGTGGCCTTGGATCCCTGTGTCTTTGCGGGCTTGCGTCCTTACTTTTGAGCCGATAGACGCAAGGACAGGGAAGGACAGGGATGGATGTATGTCAGTGACAAGCGCGAGCGCGAGCGCGAGCACGAGCACGAAGATCATTGTAGAATTGCCAATTGTTATTGGTTGTACAACACTTCTTTACTTGGTCCGAGTATGGTAGGTTAGTTGGCCAGGTATACACACTCAAATCAATCTGTGTTAGCTGGCTCTCCAATTTCCCCCATGCGATCATCGACCCTACAGCTCATGGTGCAGAGTGATGGTCATGGTCATGGTCATGTGTACTTTCTCTTTTTTCCTTTTTGCCCCCTACTCACGCTTTCTTCCTTCTTTGTTTCTCCCTTGTGCTCGTCCATCGTCCGATCTGAACAGTGTAGATAGATTGAGGAGGTGGGACGTGAAACCCGGCGGCTCCGCTAATGACTTGACATGCCATGTACCAAGGTAGTGGTGGATATGTAAGAACAAAGACCCAACCGAAAAGAAAATTGCCTAATCAAGGAATTTAGTAGGCTGCGTGGTGTGGTGTAGTGTGGTGGTAGTGCAAGCGAGTCACACTCAGGCTATCTGGCAAACACTGTAGATGTCGGTAGGCTAGGCGTCAGAGATGTGTGTCCTGAGTACGAGGTCACGGGATCCTCGTGCTCGGTATGTGTCGGGTAATTAATAAGGATTATCTGACCCAGGTATAGTTCCTACAAGTGGGAGGATGTGGACGGCACCTCGTACTGAGTACCACGTACAGAGATGGAAGGGGCTCGTGATTAGTGAAAGCTAGAATAGCAAGCTACACTCACCCCTCACCCTCCTACCCTAGATTTCTGTTACCTGTTACAAGAGTTTGTTTCAGTGATTGTGCCCGACAATGTTGCTCGGCGTCGATCGTCATCGGCAATCAGGCCGTCCTGTGTGTGCAATATTCGTAGTCGAAGCCAAGCAACCTTAGTGGGTTCGAACGTTAGTGAGGCTCCCCCGTGGCGTCGCAGTTGGCACTCTCTCGACGTTATGCCAAGCACAGCCCCCATTGGCCAGCGCTAAACCCCCTGGAAGTCAGGGACAAAAACTGCGGAGTTGAAAGCCCAAGTCGCTTGAGGACACTTTTATTTGGCTGCGGTCTATCTCAATCATCCTCTGCTCGATCCTGCCGTCAAGACCTCCTCCAGACGCCGCTTGAATTCCCGTCTCTCAATCCAACCCCAGAGTGTTTATCCAGTTTGATAAACTCCGGAAGCATGCGATTTGGCAGAGCAGCGGCCTGCGCCGCGTTCGCGGGTTGGATAGGGGCAGGCGTGGCACACAACATCGCTCTGAAAGCACACACAAGAGAATGTTTCCACGAAGAACTACACAAGGACGACAAGATGACGGTGACCTTTCAAGTGGGCGACCGTGAATTCGGAGGTGCTGGGAACCTGGACATTGATTTCTACGTATGCCAAAAAAAAAACCCACCTGGCCCATCTCTTTGGTATCGAAGACCTTTTTCCTTGACTGACCATTGGGGCGGTTTGTGATGCCAGATCACCGATCCTTCGGGGTCTTATGAAACCCAGCTCAACTCGGTGTCCTCGGGCGACTACTCGTTCGATGCCCGCATGGATGGGAAATACGTCTACTGCTTCAGCAACGAGCATTGGTCCGCCAACAGCAAGGAAGTCTCTTTCAACGTCCACGGAATTGTTTACGTCCCCGAGTCCGAGGCGCCCCAGGACCCCTTGGAAACGGAAGGTTCGTATTTTGTTCCCCATTCTGGACCACTAGAAACAAAAGCCGCAAGGAGACTAACAGAATATGCGTCGCATCTAGTCCGCCAACTCTCCGATCTCCTCGCCCAAGTCAAGGACGAGCAAGCCTACATTGTCGTCCGTGAGCGAACGCACCGAAACACGGCCGAAAGCACAAACTCAAGGGTCAAATGGTGGTCGATATTCCAACTGGGCGTGTTGATAGGAGAAGGAGTGTTCCAGGTCTGGTGGTTGAAGCGGTTCTTCGAGGTGAATAGCCGACCCCTTCCATGATCCCATATGGTGTCTTTGCGCCTTGGTTATGTGTGCTGGAGTGGGGTGACTGTCCGATTTTGAAATTGCATCTGGCTGGACCAAAGAAGACAAAAAGTTGGAACCAAGGCTGACGGTTTTCTGCGTCACAGGTCAAACGCGTTGTATAATAGTTCACGAGGTCTTTATGAGATGGGAAAAAGGTTCTCGGCCAGTGTTATGTTAAGTGTCTTTCATCATCGTCGAGGCCGCATCAATGGGTATTGGTATTGTCCAGGTGGGTGGTCTGTTACGACCAAGGTACCATTGGATTGAGGTCACAACAACACCAACTCGAAGTCTTGGCAGAGTACTCCATCGCTGGAGGACATTACCAGTGGTCACCGGGCGTGCATGGACGTGTCCTGCATGGGGGCAAATAGACATCGACTTCATCCGCAGGCTCGGGTGGCTGCAGTCTCGAGAAGTAATGAACCACCAGGAAATCGAGGACGAAACAAATAGACAGAGAAGATATTACACCATCAGCAACATACGCGACAGAGAGGACTATGAGAGAGGAAGCAATAGAACAAGTGATTGGTTTACCTTTCCTTTCCAGCCAGGCGCACAACGAAAATCTCCGTGAAACAGCTTCACACGCAGCAAAAAAGGAAAAAAAAGAAGGTCCCATGCAAACTTGATCAGGGCTCGAACAGGGAGAAACGCTAACAGGTTGTAACACAAGGCCACGACCACAGAAGAGATTCTATGTTACCAATGATATTGGTGTGAGAAGAAGTAGTATTCTAATTGATATTGGTACTGTCAGTGATACTGGCATTGTCATTGAGATAGGCCTTGTCATAAATATCAAGTGGTAGTGGTAGTAGTAGAGAAGTATGGTCAAGTAGTCTCTCGGTCCAAGTCACATCTTTCTCTCCTTCATACTTCATACATCTCCTGTAGTAAAGCGCTTTACCTTGGAGATGAAGAGAATAATCATTAGGAGGTCCGGATGGGACTCGGCCAGTGTTACCACCACATTCGAAGGGCATGAAACCGATTCGGAAAGTTGGTGGAAATTGTGGGACTATAAAATATAACATGAATAAAATTCTGAGGATCGTGAAGAAGACAGAAGTGGGTATTGAGTTAAGTGAAGTGAGTGAAGTGAAGTGAAGGAATGAAGGTGGAAGGAAGTAAAAGTAGCGACATACTCGGTTCACCTTCCCCTTTTCTCGCACCAATTCCCCATGGTGTCTTCCTCACTTGTACATCTTGTTGCGCCTCACTCGACGATTCCCCTCTCTCACCCAATGGTACAGATCGACCACCCTTCATCTCCAAACAAGTCGAGGTCCAATTTAACTCTTCCCAACATCCCCTCCTCCGAGACCGAGATCGCTCTCACCACCGTCGTCCTGATGGCGCCATGCTCGGTACTGTTTGTACGAAATACGAGTCGGCGCCATCGTGTGCTTTACCCGATCTGACTATAGCATGGAGCGTAATTACCTTGCGCCTTGACCTCGGCTTCGCTTAGACGCTCTGTCCCAGTGTCCTTCGCCACCGCCTCTTCCACCTCCTCCTCCCTCATCCCACAACTCTATCCCGGGACTGGCATGGTTTACGAATCTTGGGAACGGGTACTGGTCCGTAGGGACAATCACTCTTCGTCGCATCGCAAGCGAGCTTTCCTCGTTGGCTTGACTCGGCGGTCGTTTCCTTCGCCTGTCAAGATCACACCCTACCACTGGGTTGGTTGGCTTTGACGGCCCATCGAAAAGCGTCGAAGCTTGACTTGCCCACACTTCGATTCATCTTATTGCCGAAGTCACTCTCTGGCGGTACCTTCTTTGAACCGGACTGTCGTCCTTCCGAGGGAAGCTCGTGAATCGTCGTGATGATTTCCCAGGTTTGTCATACGTTTTTGCTTCATTTCATCTGATCTCAAATCCTTGGTCTTTTCTTTTGTATTCGTTTGCCATTGTTCAGCCGAAGTGTATTTTGGAGTGGGCTGTGCCGTGTTACTGAGCGAATACTTCTTTGTCAATCACACCCTTCAACCTCTCGTCCCACTGCGAAATGAGATTTCCTTGGTCGAAAGCCGGAGTGGCGGACAAACCGTCAGATTCGGGAGTTCAAGAGAGCCAGCTGAGCCCTCCATCGGGACAGCCAGTCTCAGCAGAAACTGTTGACCCCGAGAAGAGACCCGTCCCAGCTGACTCGAGTGTTGGGGAGCCTAGTTCACTCGAGAAACCATCGGCCACCACGCCAGAACAAGATGTCCCCATTTCAGCATCCTCTGATGAGAAGGCCGTGCTACAAGTAAACGAAGATTTATCCCGCAGAGACTCAACAGCAACTTCCGATGCAGGCGAACCCGGCGAAGATGATGAATCCAAATACGCTAGGGGTTTGCCATTGCACCTCTTGACGTTCGGCCTCACTCTATCAACCTTTGTCATTGCCCTGGACAACACCATCATCGCAACCGCCATTCCCAGGATAACCACAGTCTTCAACTCCCTAGACGATGTTGGCTGGTATGGCTCCTCGTATCTGCTCACAACGACCTCGCTGCAACCGTCTTTCGGGAAGATATACACCTACTTCAATGTGAAATGGACATACATGGTGGCGCTCTTCATCTTCGAAGTTGGCTCGGTGCTGTGCGGCGCAGCAACGAACTCTACCATGCTGATTGTGGGCCGTGCTATTGCCGGGGTCGGTGCTGCAGCGATTTTCTCTGGCGGCATGACCATTGTAGCGTATTCGGTGCCCTTGCGGAAGAGGCCCATCTACATTGGGCTGTTGAGCTCCATGTTTGGGATTGCATCCGTCGTTGGGCCTATTCTAGGAGGAGCGTTTACCGACCGTAAGTGCCCCGATTGAATCACTACCGAAGGGAGATTGGTCCACTGACCCCGGTCTCCAACAGGCGTGTCGTGGCGCTGGTGCTTTTACATCAACCTCCCCATCGGGGCGATCGCTATCACGGCCGTGTTTTTCTTCTTCAAGAACCCCGAGCGCAAGCACAGCAACCTCACCATGAAGGAGAAGATCGGCCAGCTCGACCTCCTAGGCGCGTTCTTCCTGATCTGTGCCATCGTCTGCCTCCTGCTGGCCCTGCAATGGGGCGGCACCACCTACGCGTGGTCCAACTCGAAAGTCTGGGGCTGCATCCTGGGGTTTGGGCTGTTGATTCTGGTCTTCACGGGCATCCAATTGTGGAAGGGCGATTTGGCAACGCTCCCACCACGGATCATGCTTAGGCAACGCACCGTGTTCGTGTGTGCGTTCTTCTCTGCCTTCCTCGCCATGGGCCTGTATACGCACGTCTACTTCCTCCCCTTCTACTTCCAGGCCGTCAAGGGCACGACGGCTGAGCAATCCGGGATTCGCACGATTCCATACCTGGTCAGCATCACCATCTCATCGATCGTGGTTGGGGCCAGCATCACGACGTTGGGGCCGTACGTGCCATTTACGTGGTTCGGCTCGGCCATCTTCGCCATTGGGAGTGGCATGCTATACAATCTGAAAGTAGACTCATCGACGGGGACGTGGATTGGGTACCAGATCCTGGCTGGGACGGGCGCGGGCGCGTGCGTCCAGATTCCTTTTATCGCGGTGCAGGTGGTGCTGAACAAAAAGGACATGCCTGTGGGCAATGCCGTGGCCATCTTCTTCAACTCGCTCGGCGGCGCCATCTCCATCTCCATCGCCCAGAACATTTTCTCCAACACCCTCATCCAGGAAATACCCAAGTACACCCATGGCGTCGACCCGCAAGCCATCATCATGGCCGGCGCCACCCATATCCGGCAGGTCACGCCGGCGTCCCAGGTTGCTGGCGTGCTGTACGCGTACAACGTCGCTGTCACGCACTCGTACATTCTGTCCATTGCCTGTGCGAGCATCGCCTTTTTATTCTCGCTGGGCTTTGAATGGAAGAGCGTCAAGGGGAAGAAGCTTGAGATGAGTGGGGGTGCGTAGGTTTCTTTGGATTTCTCCGTCTCTGCCTCTCTGTGTTCAAAGAGAGTAAGAGTAAAAGACGTGGAGGGAGAGAGACAATGGTGGGAGGTAGATTGTAGAAACTCCACTTGGTTTTTTTTCTTCTTGTTCTCCTCTCTCGTGGAAATGACTAGGAAAAGGAAAATCCGAATCCGAACACTTGACACATGTAGATATGCATGTGTGAACCTACCTAGGTATTTTTTTTTTTTGGTCTTTCTTTACTGGGCGTGCCCACGGGCAGAAAGAGGAGGAGAGGGGATGGAAAGGGGGTAATGTATGTAAAACGCTAATGTGGATATATCTCGACATCTCTTTATCTCTTTCAATATATCAATATATCAATTTCTTATTGGAAAGAGAGGAAGGGAAGAAAACCCATCCCCATCAAAGCTAACTACTGTAGGCTAGCCAGGCTGGCAGTGGCCGGCAACGGCTATGCTCTGCTCTGCTATGCTATGATGGCACTGTAGCAAACTAGGCAACTAGGCGGCGGATTCCGGGTCCTCTTGGTTCCAAAACGCCATAAAGTCGAATCGGAGAGCGGCTTCGAGGAGTGTGGTCTGGAAAGTAGCGTCAGTTAGTCAGGTAGGTAGGTAGGGAGGGAGGGAGGGAGGAAGAGGACAAGGTGCGGGTGGCTAAAAGAGGATACCAACTCACCGCATGTGCAGATGTTGGGGGCGGGGCGGTCCAGACGCACGCCTGGCTGGCAAGGGCGGTATGTTCCAACGGGACGGTGTCGGCGGGACTGTCCTTGTTATCAACGTCGCAGGTGGCATAGTAAGGATGGCGGGTGAAGCGGAGAAGATAGGCGCCGGAGCCAGCGCGGTCAAAGACGATGTCGCGGAGCCTGATGCGGTGTTGCTCGGGCACGTCGGAGCCCACTATCAGAGAGGCGAGGCCGTCCTCCTCGATGCGGACGACGCGCACGGCGATCCGGGCCAGCATCTGGCCGTCCAGGCCGCACTGGCGGAGCATGCAGATGGCGCGGCGGCGGAAGCTGGCGTTGCGGTACCGCGTGGCCACGAAGAATAGGATGGGCACGAGTCGCGCCCGTCGCGGCCGCCGGATGAGCAGGCCGCAGCTCACCACGACGTGCTCGATCGTGCCGGCGTACGCATCAAACGCCACTTCCTGCCTGAAGGGGCCGCACCGCGACAGCACGTGCAGGCACAGGTGGTACGTCCGCAGGAGGTGCAGGTCCGCGAGCATCTCGGTGCTGAGGTGGTGGTGGTGGGTGGCGGTCGGGTCGAATTCAAGGGCCGTCAGCTGCGCGAGCCACGCGTTGAGTTTGTCCGTCATGTCCGGCACGACCTGGAACCTCGTCTGTGGTGGAGGCCCGTCGAGTCGCAGCGCCGTGCATTCAAAGGCCAGATCCTGCAATGCCCGTGTGGCGGCGTCAATGCGGCCCCAGAGCTGTGTCGGGTCGACTTGTGGGTAGAGCACAATGTTCTCTGCAACAGCAGCGGCTTCTGTTTTGCAGTGCGGAGACCACCAGGTCATCGCCTGCGGTCGGGCGATCTGGTGGAGCTCGCTGGTATGTAACTCCAGCATGGAGAAGATCTGCTCGAGTTCCGTGATGGCCGTGTTGTCACCGGTGCGCTGGGTTGATGACGATGCCGCGGCCGACCGGTAAGTATTAAGGATTTTGCGGCCGGCGATGAGATGCTGGATGGCCGCGAATGAATTCTCCCTGTATTCGTCGCACAGGACTAGGAGGAGGCAGGCCATGAGCAGGAATCCCGGATCTGGGTTTTGGGTTTGGCTGAGTAGCTTTAGCGCTCTGCCGTAGTGCTCGAGGAAGACGACATCCTGTTCGAACGGTGGCTTACACGGCTGACGCAGTCGATGCGACCCCAGTCTGGACGCTGCGATGGTGAGATGCTTGATGCTCTGGTCGATACCGCAGGCTTGCAGCACAAGCTCGTTCCAGAAACGGTGGCTTCCGTAGTTCAGCATCGCCGGGGCACAAACTTGAACGAAGAATCTCAATGACGTCCAGGCTTCATGTTCGCATAGTGCGGGCATAGGAGCGCCGAGCACCAGCAGGACACCGATGGGAGGCGGATCTTGTCTTCCTCCCTGGGGTGATGGGTAACCATCGCATTTGCGGCCTGTGCTTAGACAGCGGTTACAGGATGGCCGGCCGTAATCGCAACGGACACGCCTGATTTTGCAAGTAATACAAGCCCTGCCGCGCCGTCTTCGAGTGCTGGCCTTTGTTTCGCTCTGAGAAGGATCCAGGACCTCAACCATGTTTGGTTTTCGGGTGCATAACAGGTCGATTGGGGTCGATAACGAATAGGCGCCTCTGGTCAGTCGCAATCGGGTGGGATGCGAACAGCAACGATGGTAGATTTGACACGACAACAGATTTGTTCAGCAGCTGTCGACCGTCGAACCGGCGGAACAGAGCGAGGGATAGAGTTCAGGCCCATGTTGCCACAAGGCCCAAACCACAAAAGCTTGAAGGTTTGATGTCGGCCATAGATACCCATATTCACTAAGTCCGCATCTCAAGGCCGCAAGACATGATTGGTCTGCTCGCGAACTAGACGTTAGCTGCATATCGAGACCCCCAAGTATCTTTCCCCTGTTCCGTAAAACCTTGGACCACCTTTCTGTCACAAGGCTTGGTGAAGGATAGATATTGTCCCGACTTACAAATGCAGTGTTGATGTAGAGGGAGCTTTCCCACAGTTTCCGACGTAGCTAAGTCCGAGAGAACTCTGGCAGAGGCTTGATATCCAGTATATAAAAAGCAGCCACGTTCCTCGGGGCAGGTTGAACATCTCAGTGTATAAACCGGTAGAAGTATCTTGAATTCTCTAGTCCCCAACATGTCTTCCATCACAGCTGATCACACCGTCGTCCTTATAACAGGCGCCAATCAGGGAATCGGCTATGAGTGCGTCAAGAAGCTGGCAGCTGAACAAACCAACTACCACATCCTGCTCGGCTCGCGAAGCCTGGAAAAGGGCAAGGAAGCAGCGAGCAGCTTGGCAGATCTGGCCCAAGGTACCTCAGTCGAGCCTTTGGAGCTCGATGTCGACAACGATGACAGCATTGCCAAAGCCGCCAAGTACGTCGAGGAGAAGTTCGGTCGACTTGACGTCCTGCTCAACAACGCGGGCATCAGCGGCGTCAAGGGCGTGAGTTTTCGCCAAAGCATGATCCAGACGCTTCAAACCAACACCGTCGGCGCCGCTTGTGTGACGGAAGCCTTCATTCCCCTGATGCGAAAGGCTCAAGTCCCGCGGCTCCTCTTCATGTCGTCTGGCCTCGGTTCCATCACCCTCACTTTGGACCCTTCGTTCCCCTATTACGGATTGGGCAATACACCTGGTGTCAAGGGATATATTATTTCGAAGTGTGCAGAGAACATGGTCGGGGCTCTGTATGCCGTTCAACTAGGCAAGGAGGGATTCAAGGTCAACATGATTTGCCCCGGCCATCGAGCCACCAACTTGAACGGCTATGACGAGCGTGGCACCAAAGCTGCAGACGGTGCAGTCGAGGCTTGCCGTTTAATCGTCGACACTGACAAAAACGGTCAACATGCAACATTCACCACCTCTCCCGAGAAACAATACCCATGGTAGGAGGTGTCGGACTTGTATCGCTGCAAGGAAGTGAGGAAATGACTTTGGGAGGATGAACAATACGGTGACAGGATCTGACTATAGGTCTCGAGTTTGACACGCTCGGGACGATGCTTTCGATCAGTCTGCGCGTGGAATATACTTGTATACCAAACTAGATGTTAGAGCCAGACCTGCACATGTACGTTGCTTCCTTGGCCAATACCGAAAGTTTTCGGGATGTCTGGTCCATGCACGAAACTCTAAAACCCGCCAGAGATAAGAGATAGCGTAACTGGCATTGCCCATACCCGTAATCGGTACGAGGTACTCTTTGAGAAAATTATGTGCAGATGAAACGGTCAGGAGGAAGAGAGAGTGGCGGTGAACCATGCGGCAGCCTAGAGTTTTCTCCAAAATGCCCCCAAAGTCCCTATTAGCGGGTTCCACATTTAGTCCCCGATAACCTGAAATATATATTACAATAACATATTTTCATGCCAATTAGCTGTAGACACTATGGCCGAGCGGTTAAGGCGTGTGACTAGAACTTGTTCCAGTTATCACATCTCTTCGGAGGCATCGGTTCAAATCCGATTGGTGTCGACATTCTATTTATTTTTGTTTTGCTTTTTGCCAGGATTTTTCTTACATGCTATGGTCTTTTTGCTGTTGGGTTACTCCCAAGACATTTTCTGCGATTGAGGCTGTTGTATGAGTACCAAATGCATGGTGCGCTGAAGGCTTGGCACGGATGGTGATGGAAACATTGCCAAGAATTGCCGAGGGTGGAACAAAAAGTGACGTCGTCATCCAATGCCCTGTATTCGCGAGCGCCACCATCGCCAACTCGTACACCACATCCTCACATCCACCGCAAGCCTTGTGCTTCTTAGGCGGGACACTGGTTGACTATCGCAGAAGGTGAGTGTGGATGACCAGGAGCACGGAAAAAAAGACAAGTATCAACAGTTCTGCCTAGGTGGACAAATGACACGACTTGCGATCTCTCCCCCCCCTAAAGTCACACAAACTCCAGCACAGCCAGATCGTTGTCCATTTCCACACTTGATCAGCCGGGTCCTTGGTATTGCAATCACGAGTAGAGGGACCTGCTCACCCTTGAGCCAGGCTTTTGCCCACGGTGACCTAGGCTGAGTTCCAAATGTTACACGAACGAAGAACAAACACGCACCAGAAACGGTAATGCAAACCCCCGTACGACAAGGTAATTCTCTTCTTCTGGGTGGAAATGCGTTGACGAGAGGCACCTTTCCTTACATCTGTGCAACCAATTCGTCTATCACAACCTCCAGCCGCCCCCTTCTAACATGGTTTTTCTGGGTTGCCCAACGAAAAGGGCCTCGTTGATTGTTCTCGACGTTTGATACCGCGGATGCCTTTCTGCTATTCCTGCCTCATTGACTTCTCCCCCTTGCAACCCCCCTAAGGTACTTATAAAACGAAAAGGTATCAACGCAGCAATCCCAAGGGAGACGGATACCTCTGAGAGTGCCATCTTCCCTTCTCGTGTCAGGAACGGGCAAACATACCTCACGGTCCGCAACAACGACAAGCGAGCAAATAAGGCCCAGTCCTCACAATCCCCTAACGCAAAACCCCTTCCCGATGGAGATCTGGCGCTACCACCCTGACGGCTGGCACGAGCCAATTCTCTTCACTCGGACACGCGGGCGTGGTGGACGCAGACGTGACGGTGAGGCCATCTACCTGGGGCATGGCGTCGGCGCGACATTCCACGTTCCCCCATACCAACGCCGCAGCCGTCGTCGATACCCACGACCCGCACCCTGGGACTATGATGACGACTCCGAATATTGGTAAGAAACCATCTAACACTCTGGAGGGCAGTGGAGGGAAGAAAGAGGAGACAAAGTCGTGGCACGTCAGAGCTGATTTGATAACCTTTACTTGGGCAATATCTCCAGGTCCGACGACGACGACTACAGCAGATACCGACGAGGCACCATCAACAACACCACCAACAACAACTTCACCCGCAACAACCCCGCTTCCTTTGCCCGTGCCCTCGCCAACAATCGAGTCGTCGTCAACAACATCTACAGATCACCAAGGCATTATTACTGACGAAAGTGCCAACTTGTATTCCGCACACAAAGGGGAAGGATCCTTTTCGCTCGGAAGTCGATTTTTGGTCGTTGAGGAGGATGACGGGTAAGATTGAGATGCCGGGGGAAGGGAAGGGGAGGGTAGCAAAGGCAGAGAACTGATCATGAGGTTGACGTCGAGGTCGACTTTGTGTTGAGAGAGATTGATTAGTCAAGGTAGTGTTTAGAGGAGAAAAGAATAAGTTCTTGAAATACAAAAAAATGAGTTCCTATCAGACTGTCACGAACTAACTACCTCGAATATTATTCTTGATCTTGATCTTGTTTGTGGCCTCGTTCTAGATCCAAGTCTAAGTCCAGGTCTATGTCTAGGACGACTTTATTTTCGGCCGAAACACTTTCCTCGTCGCCTCTGACTTTTCTCCTCTGACCCAACATCCACCGGTACAGATCTGGATTGTTGTACGTGCGGGTCCAGGAATCGTGCATGAGATCCGGGTACCGCGTGAAGGTGACTTGCGTGGCATCGGCCCTCTTCAGCGCATTGGCCATCTGGATCGACGCCTGTACGGGGATGACGTCGTCGCGATCGCCGTGGAAGATCCTGCCACCCTCGGAAATCAGCAAAGTCCCCCAGATTTGACTCTCGCCGGTCGACGATGACGACGACGACGGTAGGAACGCAGGACTACTCACGAGTGCGGCACATGCTTGACGTGGGTGACCCGCAAGGGATCGCCGCCGCCGCAGATCGGGGCCAGTGTCGCGAACCGCCGCGGCGAATGCATGGCCAGATCCCAGGTGCCGTAGCCGCCCATGCTGAAACCCGTGACGTGGATCCTGTCCAGGTCGATGCGGTAGCGATCCACAATCTCGGCGAGCAGGGCCGACAGGATGGCCGCGTTCCAGCCGTATCCGTTCTGCATGTTCAGCGACGGCGTCACCGTGACAAAGTTTTCGGCTAACAGCTCACACGTCTCTCGGGGGACGGGTTCCGTGGACCCATCACCCTGATGCTGTTGTGTCTGCTTGCTTTTCCGCAGCCGTGGCGCCAGGGGGATGTCGATTGCAGGGTCTTCATGGTCTGTCGGATCGGACTTTAGCTTGTCATAGCAGAGGATGATCTTTGGCACGCCGTGGCGGATCGAGGCAAACGACTCGTGCGGCCTGCGCTGCGACTCCCCCGCGCCGTGCAGGAAGAGAATCAGCGGCCACGTCTTGTTCCTGGTAAGGTCCGAATCATACGTCGGCGGCAGCGAGACGAAGTGCTCGTACCCAAAGGGGGCATTGGAGATGCGCTGGTCAAAGTATTCGAACCGGATGTGTTGGGTGTGCGCGTAGGCGTGGCCGGGATCCTTGGGCGGCGAGCTCCCTTTCTTAGCCGCGTCACTACGGTCACCACCACCCTCTGTACTCGGTTCGGGCGTCCGCGACATGATCACGACTGCCGGGACGTTCTTGGGCCCTCGTTTGGCCGTGTGGAAGTCGTGCAGTGAATTGGGGTTCTTCTCGGGGTCGTCGCGAACTATCGTGGCGGTGGATACGGTATGGTGACCCATGCTCCCTTGTGGTTGTGGACGTGGTTGTAGTTCCGATGTTGACGTAGACCTTATTGGTGCTGGTGTCATATTGACGTTTTCATCAGATGTGCAGACGAATCGTTGTCGGAGATGGAGTCCGATCCTCGAGATCTTAGCGTAGATAATGTAAATTTGCAAACATCATAGAGCAGGTCCCATCATGCTAGCGCTGAAGTCCTATGCCTCGTTGATCAGCCCAGGAGAAGATACAGGATGTGACTTGATGTCAAGGCACTGAAAGACAAAGTGTCATGTGTACAGCCATCCATGTGGCGAGGGATGTTCGTGGGAGACTTTGCCAGGCCCAATTGGAATCGGGTTGCCACAAAAAGGGCGAGGAACGAACCATCTGTATACGAAGGACATACTCAATTACCTTACGTGATTGATATCGCTTTAACAATGCTTTCTGTAGATCTCACTCCGTTCGAATGGGTACTCTGCTTTACGTAGGCTGGTTACTCTGGCGAATGGTCCGTCTGGGCTCATTCCTGTTGCACCATTAAGATTCTGGGTCAAATCGAGACCTAGATACTTTGCGAGGAGCTCCACATCGGGGCATGGAAGACATTGATTTGACCTGATGCCTGTGAATCCAAACGATCTTGGGTATTCCGAACGGTGTTTGTGGTGTGCTTTGTGGAAGATTCTCTCCAAAGTCCTCGGCACTCCAATACCGCAGAGAGATTCTGTGTCATTTATTTTCCCAATGAGGGTTTGGGCTATGTTGATAGATAGAAGTAATATGTAGGTCAATAGAAGAATGAGTTTGGAGGTACATCTGAAGTAGGCAATATCGGGGCTAACCCTAAAAGGTAATCGCCTGGGAATTACGTAGTGTAGTTCCGCTCCCGCGACAAGTTGCGAGCACGATTCCTGTCTCCAGATTGACCTCGACACAGATATACCAAGTCCCCCTCCGATATCTCACAAGCACCTCGAATCTTGTCAGTCAGACAAACCGCCGCAGCGCGGGCGGCCATGCGGGAACCATGGGAAACTCTCAAAGCGCGCACAAAATCTCGGCGCATGACAGGTACAGTGATTTTGAGCCCTCTCCCTCCCCTCCGTCTGTGCGCATCTTTCTATATATCTCAATATTCTAACCTGTTATACCTTCTCCGGCTGTACAGGGCAATTCTGGACATGAAGAACCAGCGGGACAAACTGCGGCAGTACCAGAAACGCATCACCGTCATCACGACGCGCGAGACCGAGATCGCAAAGGAGTGCCTGGCCAAGGGCGACAAGGCCAAGGCGCTGCTGGCGCTGCGGCGGAAGAAATACCAAGAGTCGCTCCTGTCCAAGACAGACGCGCAGCTGGAGCAGCTGGAGAAGCTGACCAGCAGCGTCGAGTTCGCGCTGGTGCAAAAGGACGTGCTGTTCGGGCTGCAGCAGGGCACGCAGGTGCTGAACATGATCCACAAGGAGATGGGCGGCCTGGAGGGCGTGGAGAAGATGATGGGCGAGACCGAGGAGGCCCGCCGCTACCAGCAGGAGATCAGCGAGGCGCTAGCCGGCCAGATGTCCAACGAGGACGAGGACGAGGTCGAGGACGAACTGGAGGCCATGGAGCGCGAGGTCGTCGGCCTCCCCGATGCGCCCAACAAGACCATCCTAGGCGAGGACTCTCTCCCGGAAGTACCCAAGACGGAGCTGGAGCGGGAACAGGAGAGGAGACAAAAACGAAAGGAAAGGGCGCGGCAAAGGAGAGTGGCCTTGGAGGCCTGATATCGTTTTCCCAATGACAACTTTTTGATGATTGTGGTCACGATATAGTACAGCTTTTGTTCATGCGTTATAGCGTCTGACATCATACAATAATTCTGTCTAAACTCCCTCCCTCCGAAGTTTCTCCCCCGAATGCTCTCACTGGCCCGGCATAGACTGGTTGGTGTTGACCAGACCCTGGATCAACTTATGATCTTGCGGGTTTGCCGCCGCCTCGTACAGCACGTGGACTGGCTCGCGGTTGAGCGCCATAAAATCTCCCTTGAACCCGAGATAGCTGATGCGAGTGACATCCTCATCCCCGCCTGAATGGTTATCCTCGAAGAAGAGGTTGATCGAGGTTGTGCCATTCCATAGAGCCCGGTTCAAGGGAATCTCGGCCACGTCGTTGCTCTTGGGGAGAGTCAATTTCTGCGTAGGTTTCAGGTCGGATGCGAGGGTGAAGTCCATGTCGTCTCGGTTCCGGAAGAGCTTGAGTGTCTGTGGGGCCGAGTCTGTGTCTGACGTCCGGATGATGATGGAATAGAGCTTGCACGACCCAGCAAACGGCACATGCATCAGCAGCTGTTCGTCTGCATCGCTTTCGAGAATGGGCTGCTCATTGAGGCGTTCATCCCACGTCTTTTGGACTATCGCCGCCCCTGAACGCGGTTCAGCCTCGTTGAGGGTAATGATGCCTTCAAAGTTGATCTGTTTGTAGAGGTTCGATTGAAGGGCTGGCTCGAGGTCGTGAGAATGGTCGTGTTCGTGACCGGCGCCATGGCTATGGTCGTGGCCGTGGTCATGATCGTGATAGTGATCGTGAGAGGACATTTTGCATCTAAATCCGCCGTCGTTCTGACTAAGAATTGCAGTGCTTTGAGATGTGCCACTGTTGGCTCAATCAATCATTCATCCTTTGTGTTTCCTACCATGGATCGAAACACCGCATCCACAGGAGTGTTCTTGTGCAAGAGACGGGAGGATCCTCACACCACTGTCTCTTTCAGGTTGTCATCGAATGTTCCAGGACGTGGGACGAGCGCGATGGCGTCGCCCTTGTTGCCGGCGCCCAAGATGGAAAAGTGGCGCAGGCGGAGAATCATGGTTTCTTGGCACCGCCTTGTTTATTGATTGACGTGCGCCATTCATTTGTCCTCAACCTTTGTTCCTCATTCCCATTCTCTCAGTTCAGCCCGGGCAAAGATCTTGTGGTGGTTCCGTCTAGAGCTTGATGAGCACCTCGTCGGATTTGGTGGTCAAGGAATGAACTTGCCATTAGCCTAGTTGTCTCGTACGGCTGATGGCAATGACAGCTGATACAAATGGCACCAAGGGCCAGCTACACTTGACTGTTGCACATGCGATAGAAAAGGGGCCAGACATTGTGAGCATGGATGGCCAGTCAAAAGAAGATGCCTTGCCCGTGTCGTAAAGATGTCTCCATGCAGTGACCTGCCCACCTGTTTGAGCAGGAGCTGGGTGTGCCAATGTCATCTTGTTACCTCCCAGGCAGAAGGAAAGTCCCCAGGACCAATGGTGAGTACATGGTGTGGATTCTGACATATTCTCTTGCAGGTTGGTCATATCAAGGTTGTATACGACAGCCAGAAACATCCATGACTGAGTCTCAATATCTGACCCCTTGTCGTCGGCCTTTGCTCCCATGGTGGATTGACGCACCGTGCTCAGTCAAGGCAAGCTCTTCACGAGGCTTTGATCATCTCCTGGCGTTGAAGGATGGTGTACTGGGAATGTCTCTTGTCGTGTTGAACGACAAGGCTGTGAGGACATAGGGGTGGCATATGTGCATTTTCTGGGTCTCAATGGCACGGTTTGACCAGGACAGGAAGCACAGAATGGCTGAATTCCTTGTCCCTTGACAGGAGAAGGACAGGAAGACTCTCTATCTTCCCTTCAAGACGTGAATTCCCATCACTCAGCCAGGAAAAGCAGGTCATCCGAATGCTAATTCGTTTTCGTGCCAAGGCGAGGCCGTGAATTTGTATATACAAAACTCACCTTCTGCCTCAGCCTGCGGTGTTTCAATTCCATCCTCAAACCATCTCTCTCGAATCGCCCATCTTTCAAGCCATTCATCATCAAACACTCGCTCTATCTCCATCCACGTTCGTTCAATCATCCCCTCTTTCGCCCATCATGGCAACCACTACCACCTGGGACGCCATAGTCTTCATCGCGTCTTACGCCTTTGCCGTCTTCCTCACCCTGGTTGATGCTCAGTCTTGTGGGAATATGACCACAACTGTTTCAGTCATCGAAACCGTCACCGAGACCATCTCCTTGATGTCTGGGCCCGTGACTGTTACCATGACTGAGTCCATCGACGCCTTCAATTTCACTCACGTCTCTGGCACCACCTACCCCGGAATCACTGCGACTACAGACACAGTCACAGATACAGTCACTGTCGGCAACGAGAGCAGCTCCCTGTCCCCTTCAGGTACGTTACCACTGACCATCACTACTCCCCTTCCTCTTGACAGCACTTGGCTAACACGTCGCGCAGCCATCAACTCTGTTCACTCCGGTTCTGCCATCACCTTGACAAGCACCACCAAGATCACTTCTTATGGTGAGTATAAGGACAGCTTGAGTCGCGTCAAGATTAGGAAACTCACAAAAGCAATAGTCAATACCACTGTCTCTGCTACCGGACCTGCTACTTCCAGTGGCGCAAGCAGCAATCTCACGCGTGGTAAGTGATTCAAAAAGTCGCGTCACTGCGCTGCCTCATTTCCTTCCTTTACTTCCTGTCGCATACTAATGTGTATATAGCATCGGTGCCTGGCTCTCTTACTCTGACATTCCCCATTGTCACTGCCAGTCCTCCTTGTGCCTCTGGTCTCCCCAATGCAACCTGCGGTAATGGCAGCTTCATCTCAGTCACTGGAACTTCGGTTCACAACTTGACTTCCCTCACTACCGTCATCAGCACCGCATACCTTGATACCATCACGTCGGTTGCTCTGGTCACCACCGTCACTGTTGTGAACACTTCGAAGCCATTCTTTGTCAATGGGACTTTTGAGACTAGCTTCCCCTTTGCCACTCCAGACTTGTCGTCTGCATTGAGTGTCGCATCATCTGCCTTTGACAGCATCACTGGAAACCATCCTGTCAGCAGCATTGGCACTAGCACAAGTACGACCACAACCACTGTCACACTGTCAAAGAGTTCTGCCACTGTCGGCGCTGCCAATTCCACACTCGGGACTGCTACCTTGATGATGTTCTCTACCATGACTACCACCTCGACTGTCGAGCCAGTCGACTCAGCCTTGAGCAAAGCATCGTCGTTGCTCAGCAATGCTTCTTCAGAGATCGGAACAAAGACTGTCATTACTACAACTACTGCCACACCTATTGGCACAATTCTCAGTGCTGTGTCTTCCCTCCTCAGTGAGGCTACATCAGAGATCGCAAGCGTAAGCGAGACTGTTGGCGCAAGCACTACTACCACCACTGTCTACACCACCGTTGCTGCAACCAAGTCTTCATCCTATGCCGCTGGTACGACCTACACAGTGACCGTTCCAGTGTATGTCAACACAACCACAACCTCTGTCTATGAAGATACTGTGACTACAATTGATCGGTTCAACACTAGCGACACTGTTCCGAGCAAGGAATCAGCCATCACATTCCTCCCTTCGACCGTATCTGTCGGCGTGCCCTTGTTGTCTGTTATAATGACAAGTGAGAGCTTCAACATCACTGCCTCGCCCATCGCAAGCAGCAACGTATCAGTGTCGCTTCCCATGGTGTCTGCATCCGTCTCAGAGTCTCAAGCATCGTCATCAGTCTCAGTCTCGATCTACACTCCGACTATGACTGGCGCAGCATCTTCCGTGCGTGTCCCCGGTGTCTTTGGTCTGATCACCCGCTTCTTGATGGTCATCGACCTCGTCAAGCCCAAGACCACCCTCGTCAGAGCCTTGTCTGCACTTCCACCTGACCCAGTCACTGCCCCATCCCCACCCAGCATGACCACCACTCCTGGCGTCTCGGTGTCAGTCTCTGTGTCCGTCTCGACCATGCCGTGCAACTGCACCACAAAGTTGAACATGACGACGACCAGCAGCTTGGACAGTGCAAACTCTACCGTGTGGTTGACCAGTACCGTGTTGAGAACTTCGACCATCACAGCCACCACGACGACCCAAATCCCTGGTGCTCATCCAGCTCCAGCCAACTCGTCTCTGGCAAGCGCTGTCACCACAATTCCATCTCCTGCCGTTTTGGCGAGCACCATTCCTGGCGCCACCGAGTCTCCATCTTTGACTGCTAGCGGTAGTGCTACTGGTGTCGGTGTCGGCGTGACCATCACCCCCGCGTCCATTGTTGGGGACACGACCTTGACTGTATCCTTGATCAACGGCCACGGCAACAGTAGCAGCACTGCGATCCCAGTGAATGCGTCCGCCTCTGCCTCTGCCTCTGTGTCTGCCACTACCATGCACAGCACCACGATGACGCCGTTCCCCAACACCACCACCATGACCATGGCCATGGCCAGCGTCACCGGCAACGACAGCATGATCCTGCCCAACCCCACCACCATGACCGTCAACAGCAGCACGACCGTGCACCCCACCGTGACGAGCTTCCTGAGCACCCATCACTCCAGCCACTCCAGCGGCTTCGTCTTTGCCACCGCCAGCAGCAGTGGGAACATCACGACCTCGTCTTCGATGGCCTCGTGCTCTCTGACGCGTCTGACCGTGCACACCGTGACTGCCTTGCTCCTCGTGGCCGTCACCGCCTGGTTCGTCTTGTGAGTGTGAGTGAGGACAGCGTTGACAGCCGTTGATCCCCACTTACATACATATCCCTGACATTACTCCGCTTCAATTCACTTCACCTTACTTTCACATCACATCACATCACATCAAATCACCTGGCTTTTCAGATGGTCATTCATGCCATATGATACGATGCCATACGATACCTACGAAGCGATGTTATGCAGTGCAATGCAATGAAAAATGGACGGAAAGGAATGTCAATCACTGGGAAATTCCAGGGTCAAAAGGACAAGGTTGAAATGCGTCGTCACCTGCCACCCCAACAACCACAATCACAACATTCAGGATATCTCATTGCGTGGATCGCCATCGGATGGATATTGAAAGAGCTTTTTTTCCTTTTTTGCACTCAGGTGCACATGCGCGTGCTACACAGTAACAAAAACACCATGATACCAGACAGAAAGTGTCATTGTCATCCCCATAGTCAAACATAGGGAAATGAACCAAAAGTGCTTCGAACCCTGCCTATTCCGTTTGTATCTCTACTTCCTCTGTCCGTACTTGCCCACAACTAACCCATAGTCAACTATCAAATACTGATTACTTCGGCCACAATGCACAGCCTGCCAGTGCTCAACTATCCCTCGGCCGTGGGCCTTGCGTGGACATCCAATCGCTCCTCACTCTGGTCCATACTCTCAATCTTGCTGATAAGCTTTCTTTTGACTGTCTCATGCTCCTGCCCGAGTTGATGTTCGAAATCAACAGTACTGTCCCTCAGCCCTGCGCTCTGCACACTGTCGCTGGTGACGTGCCGGTCGTACAATCCAGTGGAGACCTCGGCAAGGCCGCCCAGTTTCATGTTGGGATCGCTCTTCAAGGCCGACAGGCTCCCAACACAGTCCTGATACATGCGAGTCCAAGGTTGGGTGTCCAATGGCTCTGGAGGGCGATCTGGCATACGATTTACCACCTGTAGCTCCTGTAGGTGGCGGGTTTCTGCAGATCTATCCATATCTGGTCGCCAGCCAAAAGCCCCATAGCCATCAAACCGACGTTCATCACCAGCAATCACTTCAAGCTCCGGATATTCGACGCTGGCACCCGCGCTGATGCTGCTCCGATGCCCGTGAGTGTGCGCGTACGCTCTGAATTCGGTGCTGCTGCTGCGGTAGAGTCTTTTCCATCGTCCAGCGAGTCCTTTTCGGCTCTTGCTATGCCGTATACCCAGAGACTGTGTGCCCCGTATACGCTTGGTTCTGGCTTTCTCTCCACCGTCTTGCTTACTAAACTGCAGCATTCTCCAAGATCCAGGAGTATGTAATGCTCGTGTCGGTGTAGGCCGAGCCCACGGCGTCCGAGGGGCTGTGGATGAGGTGTTTTCGTCCTGATAGTCGAGAGCAAAGTCTCGCGTTGCGACACCGTCCTTGGGCCCTGCTGAGGCGCACCTCTCCTGTCTCGTGTGGCTGGGAAAACGTCCCCATGGACCAAAAATATCCTTCAGCGGTGTACTCGCCCCTGAAGCCTCGTCACTTTCGCTGGAGGCTCCAACGACAGTGAATCGTCTTCCGATATCTAGGATACTCTTTTTCCTAGAAGTCTTCTTAGCTGGAAGATTGACAGGTGTCTCCCTCCCGACATCAACGTTGGTGATGCTGCGTCTTGGGTTCACACATGGGAGTGGATCAGGTTTCTTTACGCAGATCTGGAGACGACGTTGCTTCTCAACACTGGATGATCCATTGCGGACTTTGATCTCTCGCAAGGTGTTCGAATCGGCTTCTTCCTCCGGGGTCTGTTGGCTTTGATGGGACAGCTGAGCTGCACTGATACTCGACCTCGTACTTCTCCTCCTACCGTCACGATCAAATTTTGGCGATGTGAGAAAACCACTCATTGTATCACGTTCAGGCTCTTCCATAGCCCGTTTGAAGGACCTCTGCCACATATCGGCGGCAGACTCGTGCAACTTGTTGGGGCCATCGTAGATTGATCTTGCTGCATCGCCATCTTCTGACCTTGAAGGCCGTCCAGTAACAGAGATTCTCGAAAAGGGCAGTGCCCTTCGTGGATGAGAGGTGGCAAGTGACTTCTGGTTGCACGGACCTTGCCGGGAAGCAGTGGTATCTCCGTTAGTGGCTGGCTCGATTTCACTCATTCTTTCATTGTGTGCGTCGCGAATCGCTTGGACGTTGATTTCTGTCAATTTTTCATTCCTAGCCTCTAGTATAAGATCGGTGTTGATTTCGCTCATGGCTTCATTGGCTTCCGTCGAATGCTGAACTTGCTGGGAATTCACACCACGATGGAGGTAGTAATCAACGTTGCTCCGGTCTGGCATGCTGACACTTCTGTTCCTCTTGGTGAACCCAACACTCCGTCCTTCTTCTTCAATCGCTTGATGGTTCTCTGAACGCTTTCTGCTAAACCAAGCACTTTCTTCTGCAACTGAAAGGTTGCCGATGCTGGCACTAGAAGACCATATAGGCAAGCTGATGGACTCTGACCTCCCGCCAATGGCTATGCTATTGGGATTTCCTTTGCGTATACTTCGTCTAGGTGGTCCAACATCTTCGAACTCACTATCACTCCAGTAGAATGATGAGGCATCCTCGGTGCCAGTCAAAGATTTGGACTTTCCAAATGTATTGGCGTGGATTGGTGAAGCGCCAGGCCCCCGGCTGAAGCATGTGCGTCGTCTGACCAAGTCGCCTTCGAAGAGTCGTTTAGTTTCTGGATCCGACGGTCTTCTATTGTGCTCAACCGTGATAAGACCCCCGACTCTCCCAGCCACGGATGTCTGGCTGGTGGAGGGTCGGAAGTCTAGAGAGTTTCCTCTAGGTGTTCGAGCCGTTGTCGTGTGGCTAGTATTCGGTCTGCCAGAGGCAATAAAGGACGGACTTGCGAGGCGTTGAGAAATTCGCATATTGTACAAATGGACCGAGCTTCGGTCAGAATCGGCAAGAGAAGAGAGATCTTTTCTCGATATACCCTCTCTCCCTGGCTTTGAGACGTCGAATGGATCCATGTCAGCCATTGCCAACGAATTCGATTTGCGAACGAATGCGACGGCATTGTCACCGGACATTCTTTCCAAAATCTCGACTGACGAGCGCTCACCATACTTGGAAATGAAACCTAGCAGGCTTGGATCTAACTCCGACATTAAACTCGCCCGTGGACCTGTCGCATTGGAGATCTGACTTTCTCTTTTGGCCGCAGAATCGGTGCCCTCCAGTGCTTTGAGCATAGCTACAGATTCGCTGCAGTCTTTCAACGAAGAAGGAGTGAGGAGATCATGCTCTCGAGTGTCAGGGTCGGTCGAAGGAGGCATGGTTTTGGATTTAGTTCCGTGTGTAAGCTCGATTGTAACATCGGCTGCCAGTTTGCCGGGTTGCTTCGAGGATCCTAAAGGTGATTCGTCTCTTTGACCTTGGACGACATTGATAAAGGAGGCATTCGATGATGTAGACGGGGTGGATGATGCCTTTGGGTTCTCGGATCGGATATGGGTGTCCATCAGTGCACGAATACTTGTAGGAGACGGCGGAGTACAGTCGGTGGTAACGAGCTGAATGCTATCGGGTGAAGACAGGCTCAGCACCCTCGATGGACTTAACTTGATCGTGCCATCGCTTGCCTTCAGCGCAGCTGTCTGGATGCTCTTCGCATCGCTATCATAACCACCCTCACTTGCAGTCCGTGACATAAGAAGTTCAAGGAGACCCGTAGATCGCTGGCTCAGTGTTCCTTCAGGGGCATTCATTCCCAATTGTGCATTGTCACGTCTTGTCGTATCGTGAGGAGTAAGCTCAGATATCATTTGAGGTCTAGAGCTGCTCTTGCTCAATCTCGACTCCGAGAGCTTCTGCTTAATGTGATTGCCCAATTGCTCTATTCGGCTAGACTGTTTCCGATGTTGATCTTGTGGCCCAAACTTGAAGTCAGTGTCCAAGGACGGCTCTCTGTAGAGATTCGATCCCGAGGGAAGAGAGGCAGTTCGATAGCCACGGACGGAAGATGAGGACCGGAAAAGTTCGCGGAGGGCTTCCCTGTCTGCCGAGTGTGCGCCTGACTGGCTTACAGCGTGCGGAATCTGAGAAGCAGGAAGTTGCACCGAAAGCGTAGAAGGTAGGGTATGGAGGTCAGATGCCGCGTGGTCTTCAGAGGGCCGCATGCCAAAGCAGCAAAGAAAAGGCGAGAGGAGGCGCTTCAGGGTACACATGCTCGATAGCAGGTAAAAAGCAGGTCACACCGAAGGAATGAAAAAGAGAAGAAATGTGATCGTGTAAAGTTGGGTGCCATGAAACAACGGGGAAGCATCTGGGGCTTCAAATGGTAAAGAAACAGCGTGATATGGGCAAAGACTCAACGACTCTGCCATGATGAAAGGCAACATCAAAGATGCTCAACTGCGGACGGGAAGGACGATGGCAAGAACGAGGGGCAATTCTGCGGGAAGGAGCAACGCAAGTCTCTTCAATTTCGATGCAGGTTGTCGCATTGCTTGTCCCGAGACCTGTGAGCAGTCAGTCTAGTATAGAGCTGGACTTCAGTTATCTTGACTCGTTGAAGTGACTTTTCTAATAGTAGAGACGCAGTCAATCAAGGGCGCAGATAGAATAGCCCAAACACTGGTTCTGCAGTGGTCTCTGTTGCGGCGGTTGAGCCTGGGCATTATATCGAAGGTCATCACTGCTGGAATCAGGGGACAAAAGATTCCAACTCAACATATCGAAGCTGAACTGGTGGATGAAAGGACATGAGGCCGAGAGGTGTTGTTCGCGCTTTGGCTTACAAGTCACTTATACTTCGCAGTAGTCGCTGTACGGGGGATCACGGCGTCAACTCGCCTCATCTCCTGTCACCTCCACCATCAACGTTCTTCCAACCACAAGTCATCACCTTTACATCTCCCACCGAAATCTGTTGTTGGAAGCGAAGAGATGATCCCTTGTTAACTCTGCCTGCTCTGATAGTTGCGTCAACGCGTCATTAAGTTACACTCACTAATGCCCACGGACCCTCAACCCACTCGGTGCCACACCAACAGGGAAGATGGCCAAACAATCAGTGCCAGAGCTGGAGGTTCAAGACTTGGATCCACAGGGGCACGCAACAGTTACATTCAGATATGATCCTGAGACTCAAAGGCTCCAAGTCCATCGTCCCCAGAGATCCATGTCGCCCAAGAAATCGTTGCTCACCAAATGCATGGGCCCCTTCCTGCCAGCGGGATACCCTGGCTCCGTCAGACCAGATTATACTCCGTACCAGATCTACGATTCTGTGCAGGCTTTTGCCTCTACCATTGCGGGACTACTAGCCTCGCGGGCCGTCTTCGTTGGCATGGGTGTAGGGTCTGAGGACGCCTCGCTTGTGACCACCATGTTGTTGTATATCGCGCAAGAAACCATCGGGCGGGTTGCAACAATCTTGTTTGCCTACCAGTTTTCGCAGAAAATCGAAGCAGAAGTCAAGTTCTACCGCTTCTTTGCCGACATAGTCAACGATATTGCCTTTGTCCTAGACTGCTTGAGCCCTGGTCTGCCACTGTTGGGGCGAATCTGTACTCTTTGCGTCAGCAATGCGTGCAGAGCGGTTTGCGGAGTTTCTGGCGGGAGCAGCAAGGCCATTTTGAGCTCCCACTTTGCAAAGGAAGGCAATATCGGAGAGCTCAATGCCAAAGACGGCAGTCAGGAGACTGTCGTGAGCTTGGTCGGTATGTGGGTCGGAGGTCTGCTTGTCAGCAAGGTGCACGGCACTTTTGAGACTTGGTGCTGCTTGATACCCTTGTTGGCAATGCATCTGTGGGCGAATTGGAAAGCCGTGAAGAGTGTGCGTTTGACTTCGCTCAACAAGGACAGAGCCATTATTTTATTCAGCGCGCTTCTTCGAGGCAGGGCAAAAGGTCTGAGTGAGGTAGGTGAGGAGGAATCGATCTTGGGACTGGGACAGATGTTCCGTACCTCCAATTGCCATAACGACTTCCAGGTCGGTGTTAGCGTGAACAAGTTCCTACGAACCTTACCTGAGGGCGAGAACAATCCTTCGCGAAGAGACCTCTGCTTTTCTCAGCTGCTCAGGGTATTCCAGGACGAAGACTATTTGCTCTGGTGGGATGTGCGGTCAAAGCAAGGATTTGTGCTGTTGAAGGAATCGGCCGGGGGCGAAACACAGGCAAAGGCAATCTGTCACTTGCTTCGATTATCATCGCGAGTAAAAGCCAACCCAAATGCTGCGAACCTGTCGCAGCAGAATGGCCTCGTGCAAGGACGACAAGATATTTTCGAGGTCACTCAGGATCCAGAACAACACGTTCTGCCTTCCAGTTCAGAGGAAAAGCTCGACATTCACAGCCATTCCTCGCAGCTATACGATGGACTCGACCCGGCTATTCAGTTGATCATTGACACATTACGTGAACATCGACAAGAATGGAAAAATATGCAGGACCTTGTGCTGCACCTTGGCTGGGATCTCGATCTCACAAATCTTGGTAGAGGTCCTTGTCACCGCATCCGCGTGGATAGCGCTCCATTTGAGGACAAGAAAGACAGATGAGGAAGTCGGTCCTTGAGAAAATTCCTGCCACAGATCCACCGGCAGGAGAGTCAGTTACTACCTGTCAATTTGACCTGGCCAGCGCCATGTGGCCAATTAGGGGCATCATCGTAACGTCCGCAGCGGAGCAAGGTGACGTGGGAAAGCAAGCCATGACACGACGACGGCTCCACGGAAGTGCCATTGACTACGAGAATGTTGCTTGCTGAGGATCAGCCCGGCGGCAAGAAACCGCCTGTCCTTGGAAGACGATGATGCCGTTGGTCCGAAGCAGCGCCGACGATGGAATAACCGTAGCATCAGGATGCCAGGGATGCCCACGTGTCGGCACACGCCCGGATGTCGCCCCAAAAGCGGAAGCATAGGCGAAATGGGTAAATCTCTCATCTAGGCAGGTTTCTAGAAGACTGAAAGAAGACTGGTGGAAGCCCGGAAGCGAGGTCCGCCGCCGTCGCCACGATCCAATCTTCCGAAACGCCAGACACGGAGCAAATCCTTTTCCGCACAGAAGGAGATGAATGACTGCTGGAACGGTTGTTGTTTGAGTGTGTAGTGGAGTCGAGGGCAAATCTCAAGCAACAGGTCGTACCTACGAGGACGAAGTATTGCATGTAATATTCGGCACATCGGGAGTTTCCTTTCCTGAAAGTGGAGTAGTGACTTTCAATATTCGTCGCCGGAGATGCTTACCAGTCACTGCCTCTCAATCAAAACGCGATCGGCCCAGATCTTGAAGAAGAGATCTACAGTGCAATCAAGGACAGAATGCAAAGCATGTGCACCGACAAGTGGGAAGATATGTAGAGAGCCTTATCTTTTTCGTCTGTGGTCGCATCTTCTGCAGTTCGTTCCGAACACCATCAACCTGTGCCAGGACCAATTCGGTGACCGCTATTATTCGGGGGTACAACTTCCACAAATGATTGCCGTCGCCACCTGCCAAAAGTAAATACGTTGCAGCTGACCTACACGTATCTTTTCCCCAAATGGCCACCCCGCGCAGTTGGCTGTGTAGATTGGGATCCCAGCCATGGCCCCTAAAGTGGAAGAATGTGGAATGTCAGTAGCAGATATATCTCTCGCGCAATTGTCACTAGTAGATATTTTATGTCGTTTATGGCTATTTTGGATAGATACAACGGCTAGGATGGGAGCGGTGAGGCGGGAACGGGAAGGAGGAAGGCCTTGGACAGGCCCAAGCGAGAAAGGATGCACAGCGGCAGGGTTTCAGGCCTCATAAGTAGAAGGATCTGGCGACTTTTCGTAGTTTGATGTCGTCGAAATCCGGGTAGCGGGAGAGATGGATGTTAGGGAATGCCGGGTAACAAAAGTCCACAATCCTACTTGGTAGCCACACACCTATTGGCATTAGCAGGTCCAACGGCACCGAAACAGGCTGACAATCTAGGGAAGGCAATAGCGAGAAACTTAGCCAAAATCAGGTTCGAGGGTGATTGCGAGCAAAACCCAATAAATTGTCGTCGTCGCCTGTGGTGCCAGTATTGGAATGTGTGTGTGTGTGTTTGTGGCGGGGCAGTGGAAACGGGTTTTCCGCCCTTATTGCCTCTGAAATGGGGGGTACCAGGGCATCCAAGGCCACTGAAAAAGGCGCTGGGAGACGATGAAGGTTGCCAGAAAAAGTGGGCAGTGGCAGGTGACTTGATCACTATTTTTTTGAAGCCGAGGGGCCGACTTCTGGAAAACGCGTAGAAGACCGAAGAAAGAGAGTGGAAAGGTGATGGAATGTGTGGAATGTGCGTAGAAGCCTGAGCGAATTGCTAGAAGCCAGCGAAGGACCGCCTAGAAGCCAATCAGGCGGAGGCGATCGGGGGCGGGCGTACAGGGAAGAAACAGGTACGTAAGAGCAAAGGACATGAGCGCAGAGGTTCCCTGTAGGCATTGTCTGATCATCACTTTTTTTCTCACCACAGTCCTTGAACTCGCAGCCCTATGAGTTGCCGCCCTGGTCACCAGTATTTTAGGCCCATGTACTTAGTTATACGAGGGATGACGAGTTGACAACCAAGTTAGGGGGCTGCCACAATCTCTTAAAGTTGTGGCCCGGTGTCCTTTGCATCTTGGGTATTTGCCTTAGGGCGTGGTAGGCGTAGGGGTAGTACGGGACCCCTCCCCGTGGGCACTCATTTGATCATCATCCCATCATAATGCGCCCCAAGCAAGCCAATCCGCAGGCTTGAAGAGGGCTCCATTGAAATGCAGGCCTGATTTAGCCTGGGCGACTAGTGGTGCTTAAGGCAAGGCTCCTCGGGGCTAGTGAACAGCGTTGCAGCAGCAGGTCCGAACCACTTGCTCTTGTCTGTACCAAGTCACTACTACTCCTCCTGTTACTGATTGTTACTGACTGCGTTTGTCCCTGTGCCTGTGCCTGCGCCTACGCCTGAGGCCATGTGCCCTTGTGTCAATTACGCTCTGGTTGCCTGCTGTCCATGCGCGTATTCCCTACCCTCGTCTTTCTAATGCACCCTCGTTCCCATCTCTCCCAACGACCAATTCCCCCCCTCCCGCACCCCTGAAAGGCCATCTTGGGACCATCTATCCTGACATTCCACGAGGAGGAATAATACAGCAGCCTGTTCAAGCCTGACACGAAAGGACCTTGCTAGCCAAAAACCAAATCCCTTCCCCTACCAGGTCGATTGACAAGGACCTTTCCGGGTATTGACTCTTTTCATCCCCAAATCCACTCATCTTCTCGCCTCCGCCTGCGCCTGCGCCCGCGCTGCACTGCAAAGCAAACCTCGACACTCCGCGACGACAGAAGTATGACTCTTAGCTAAACCTTGCACAAGAGCATCTTTCGCCTCTCCACTTTCTGGGTTCCTTCTGGTCACCCAGTGTCCTGGGCATCCACATCCATCATCCACCTCACTGTTACCTCTTACCGTTGTCCTCATTCCACTGCCCCGTCACTATGACTGTGCCCGGGCCTTGATCTCACTAAGCTCAGAGGCGAAAAGAATTCAGTCAAACGTTTCCAATCAACTTCACAGATGTCCCTTTGATCTTCAACTTTGGGAACATTCCGACAACACTGGAAATCAGATGTTTGTGCTGAATTGAACATCTGCGGCTGCGCTGTTCGTCCTTCTCTCGTCGCTCTTTAGGATCTTATTGTCGCATCACTATCTGCTCACACCAATAATTACACCCTCCCGGTTTGCCGCCACTTTGCGTCTCGCCGGCCCTGCCTTCAATTGGACGCTTTGATCGCCCTGTTGACGTCTTCTCAGACGAACACCAACCGAGCACACGACGCACGCCCTTCTGCCACGTTATACACCCTCACGAAGCCGTTCAGCCAGCCAGATCACACACATCTCATCGCTTCAAAGGACCACGTTCGAGCCCAACATTTGGCGCTTCACAAGTCGAACCATCCCTACAGAAACCCCTGTCGTGGTTACACAGCGTTCTTCTGTGACACGGAAAGAAGCTTGCTGGCAGGAAGAGTCTCGGATATACACAGCGGGACAGCCTTCTATCTTGCAGTGTCTCTGTACAACTCAGGACCACACCCTTTTGCCGCTCTCCGTGAACAAGACACTGGCGCACCGGAGACCTGGCCTGGAAGAATACAGTGACTTTGATCAAGGAGGTTATAAGCCGAGATTCCGAGTCCAGATCACGGCGAACACCTCTGGGACAAGTGTACACTCCTCGGGCAGGATTGGGTACAGACGAGGCGTGCAACATAATCGCTCACTCTAGGTATCTTGCGTCCAGCAGCGGTCAGGTCAAAGCGAAGTCCAGCGCAATGGTTAAGAAGAAATCGATTTCAATAGCGTGGCCATATACACCTGAACCTTCACCTCGTCTTGATCCTTTGGTCTATCCCCTGGTCGATATTCCTGAAGATTTCAACATGTCGGAGGAAGAATTACCACCTCGGGCAAGGCCCATTAGTATGGCAGCCCGAAAGGAGGGCGTCTTATCACCGGGAGGAAGACCGACTTTGGACGATGTGCTCAACAACAAAGCACCATCGCCCTACACCCTGGCTGCATACACGGCATTTCTATCGCAACAGCACTGCCTAGAAACGCTCGAATTCACCACAGAGGCCAAGAGATACTCGGATAAGTACGATGAAGCATCAGTCAGTATGGGAGGCATGCCCCTCACAATAGAAACGCAGGAAGGATGGGAATTGATACAGGACTGGACGCGGCTTCTCGAAATCTATGTCAAGCCAGGTGCTCCGCGGGAAATCAATTTGCCGGCCGAGGAACGAGATGATCTGATCGAGCGATCCTATGAGTTCAAGCCTCCTCGTCCTGAGTATCTGGATGCTGCCGTCAAACGCATGTACGACTTGATGTCGGATTCGATCTTCATTCCATTTTGCAATAGCCTCAAACAGGTTTCTCATGCCCAGACATATACACCTATGTCGGAATTTGCGGATATGGCTGAACTTGACCCCTCCCGATTAACATACGATGAGCGTGGGCTGCACCGGCGGATGCCTTCTCGTCGACGGCGATCTCCACCACACACCTCGGCGGTCTCGTTTGAAGCTACTCGATCCCCGCCGCAACAGCATCGACCGACACAATCCTCGTTATCGTCCGCATTGGGTCGGCAGAGCGGTGTGCGCTTGTCGACGCACGTGTCACACTCATCCGCAGTCTCAGAAAGTGCATTGACTGACAGCAGCGGAGGCCCGGATAGCCCTCCTGTTGGTGACCTTATGGAAACGGAAGCAGTCATAACCCCACCGACCACTCCACCAACGAGCGAGCTGGGTGGGACTATCAGTCACGGGAGTGGGAGCGGATTGGCAAGTGTCAAATCACATCGAAGTGAAAGCGGTGGCTGGAAGAAGGCCATGAAGATTTTTGGCGGCAGCAAGAGGAAGAATGGCAGCAACGAGCATGACTGACACGCAATAGAGGGGTCCTCTGTGGCTCCTCGAAACCAAAACAGTCTATTGTTGAAGGATTTGTGCCTGATTAGGTGATAATGTGGTTTTTCTGCAACGGGATTACGAAAGGAATTGGAATCGGGTTGTGCCAACTGAGGACAAAAGCCGGCAGCATTTCGGATCATGGGACTGGTAATGGAGTTCGCAACGCGACTACGAGATATGATTTAGCATGATGGCGTTGGGAGGATTGGGGGTTTTATGGTTCAACTGGAAATACGCGGAAGGGTTCAGCACTTTTCTACTTCTCTCTGGAATGTTGTTTTGCCTGCTCTGGTTGCGCCGCCAGACGAGGTTTTCTTGCACGATGCTGGGCCTAGTAGAGCACGATATGAGATGAAATGCCTGGTTCAAGGAACATGAGATGAGTGGAGTCTGCCAGTTCGGGAGCGGAGCTGGACAGAATGGGATATTTCTCAATGTACACAACAAGCAGTGGGGATGATTCTTGGTGATGCGGCTGACTGGATACTGATGCCATGGGATAATCAGTAGTAACGAGTGAGTACCTCGAGTCGAAGTACCACTGCCTGCAAAAATGAAGCATGTGTCGCCGTTTGTTCATGACCTCTCGCGTCATCTCCCTCACCACGTACAAGTGCATTGATCATCCCTCTCTTTACCAAACGAGCCTATTACGACTTGATTTTGGTACAGCGAGGAAGTTGCCGGGTCTCTTCGCCAGTCAACAAGCGGTAGGGACAAGAATGATCTGCCGCGGGGAACACGGCAGTAACAAACTCCTATCATCTCACGGCTAAATCACAGCTATGTACCTCGAGGACATCTCTAAATGAACAAGCCATGGGGAGATTTCACAGGACTGATGCGCCCGGATATTCTCCTGGGGTACACGGTGAGGGAAGTGAATGTGTTTGATGTCCCCGGCAATGGTCGGGAGCTGCCCTTCTGCCTTGGACTGTGGCTCAGTGGACCTTGTCTGCTTCTTCCGCTCCCACCAAGCTAGGTCCCAGAGCAAGTCAAGTTGATTAGGCCCCAACATATGACAAGCATACTAATCTGACAAGGGAAGGCTTCCATCTCTCCTCCGACAGCGAGGTCCGCGCCCCGCCCATCTATCAATGCATCTACAATGGTGACACTACATGGACATGCATGAAGAAGCGGCCTAGGCCTAAGAGCAGGGATGATGACGAACGGTGGCGATGATACCCCCCTCAGTGGCACAGCAAGAGACAGACTTCGGGTGCCTTGTGGCTCAGCAGGTTACGAAATCACGAACATGAAACACGGCATCGCATAGTCTGGCTTGTCTGGCTGTCTGGCCAGAATCTGGGCTATCCGGCCACCCCCCAATCACCAGCTTGTCCTACAGGCCGTCTTGCTTAGAAAAGGGGTCGGCATGCTCGGACATACATAGGGTTCGATCGGGGAACTCTCATTCGTTCATCTATCCAATCGTCTGCTATCCTCGAGCCAATCGCCTACAGAGGCAGGGAATCTCAAGGCATGCCAAAGGGCCTCCTTCCCGGCCCCTTGTTCCTAACGAAAAAGGTTCCTTCCACTCAGGCAAATATCGCCGCGATGAGAATCAAAGACGGGGATCTCAATCAGCATCAATGGACAATTGACACTGTTGGAGGAGTGCTGGAAGACCAATCATGTTTTCGCGCCCATCAGCAGATCAGTCCTCCGTTTGAACCCTCCACTTACTTACATAGACCTCCTTGCTGCATGAAACTACCCGATCCCGCTCATCCACCCCTCAGAATCCCTTTCACTGAGATATCCTGTGGTTAACCATAAGAGCTGGTTCTGCATGTGCTCTCCTGGATGGCTGCGGGGGTAATTTATCCTTTCATATCTCTAAGTTCAACCTCTTCCATGTGTTTGCCCTTGCTCACCGCCGCATGATGGCTCGTCCGCCAAAAGTTTGACATAAAAGCCGAGAAAGGGAAATGTCAACCTAAATACGGACTCAGCCGAAGTTTGCGGTCCGGTTTGATGGCTGTTTTCCGTCAAGGTATCTCTGGACAGCTTCCCCCTTTCCTTCCTTTCTATCAGCTCGAACTTCTCGTTGTGTACCATGTCTCTGAACAACACCAATGCCGAGTAAATACTCGCACAGCGTCGTCCTGGCCAGTTACTCCAGTCGGGGTATCGTCGGCCTGGCCAACGACGAGAAACGCGGGAACCAGAAGCCAGTCAAGCCATCTCGGGTTCTGGCCGGTAAATCGCCACAACCTCATCAACCTGATTTGGCGATGAAGCCAGGGCCACGGGCTTCTCCTGGATCTTCGTATCATGCTCGTCTCTCGACACTGTCGCCAAAATCTCCAGCACAAAGATTTTTGAAAGGGAAATATGGTCTCTTTACTAGTAGCACGGCAACCACCCAACGGGATTCAAAGAAGGAAATATCCACCAATGTCAGATCAATGGGTGCGACTGAGGGATCTCGTCCGTCGACCAGGGAGCGAATGGTAATCTTGGACTCGGACAGTGAAGAGACTGTGGGCGGGATCGCAGTCAACTCCTTTCAGTCTCACGTCTCTGGTCCAGCCAATAGAGTATTTCCGGCTTGTTCTCCGACAGCCTCACCACCAGGTCCCCAAGCTGAAAGTCCGGACCTCAATACCCACCGAAGTCCATCTAGAGCAGGGGAAACCCTACCAGACCATACCGATAGTGGATTCTTGAGCCTTGATGAGACACCAGCCTCGCACGTTGCTGCCCAGAAGTTGTCAATTGGACAATCTGCAATCCGATCCAAGAGACGATCAAAGTCTTCAAAGGCAGTCCGCCACAATGATACGCTGCACAATAATCCCAGGCTTCAGACTCCGGCACAACCCTCGCGGCTCGAAGAAACTGGCCGACAGACTCTTAGCCGAGCAAATATCAGTTTCATTGACTTGTCTGATGATGAGGTCAGTGGTAAATCCCACGCACATACTCCTCGCAGCTCACTGGATAAATCACCGTCAACGCATACCTTGACCTCAGAAGTTGTCCTACCAGGTTCCACACTTTTCAATGCATCAACCGGCCTCCGCCTCCATGATATTGATGGCAGCCTTACTCTTGGAACGAGGCGAGCGACACAAGACAAATTGGCGAATGGAACAATTTGGCATGGTAGTCTACCTGAACCGCAAGTCCGAAAGCGGCCTCTCAGTATGGGTAACAGTTATCACGAAGCCCTACCTTTACACAAAACCGTTATGCTCCGCAGAAGACAGACCGAGGAATTCATAAAGCCTGCAGTCTCGCGCAGTCCGACCCTAGAGCCTCGCGATCTATCTTGGTTACTGCTAGACGTGGGACTGGACGACCAACTGCAAGATGATGATCATGACGAGGATCAGACGCTTCCACACATTACCTTGGAGTCCCCCGATTCTGAAGCTCACGCGGAGGTCACGATTGCAGGCCTGGAATCTAGCTCCTCCTCGCCTGACCCTTCAAGACTGGAGCATGTTGAGATTGACTTCTCTAAACGTGCTAACAGAACCAAGAACGGATTATCCTACTATCTCCCGGACGATGCTACGACGAACGTGTATCTTCACAGACACAAATATGACTCGGCGCATGATTATCCGGCTCAAAATGACCTTAGGCGAAAGTCGCTACCGCCATTGAGTACCTCGTGGTCTAGTCGGAGAGGAGAGGAAAACTTGTGGTCACCCAACCCAGTTAAATCAGCTCCGACGTCTGCTCAGGGTGAGGTCCGGCATCAAGCAAGAATCTCGGTCCTCAATTCCAGTCCGGCCAAGCCCGAACCCGAACTCCAGACTTGTCCAGTCACAGAGTTGTCTGATCAACCCACTTTAAGGCCCAAATTGAAATCAGAAGAAGAGATGAGGATGAAGATCCCGACTCCTATCCCATCTCCTTCACAGTCGGAGACATCTCCTAAAATGTCAGCTAAGAGGATGGTCAAGTCATCATCGGGACCGACTCATCGAGCACATCGAGTATCATGGCCTGCGACAGTGCCCGAATTCGGGGTACCCTCAATCACTCGACATGATGAGTCGACACCGCACATCCATGAGCAGTGCGAGTCAACCCTTGACTCACGATTGACATCAGCGTCCACACAGAAACAGAAAATCGGGCCGAACGCGATACGGAGACTGGCATCGTTTCCCCGGTTCACAAGGCTGGGAATTCCTGCACAACAAGAGAAAGACGAGGCGCATACCAGGGTGATGGAGAACCAGCAAGAAGAAGATGATAATTGGGCGTTACCGAGCATCCCTATTTCAAAGGAAGCTGCTTCACGGGCCAAACTATTGGAGTTATTGGCAATAGAGGCGGAGGCTGAATCCAGGCACGAATCCAAAGCATCGAAACCCTGGCGTGAGTATCCTCCGGATCTGAGCAGTCAATTGCGAAATGTGGACAGCCAGACTGGACACAGCAGCGACCTAGACGATGTCATCTCTCTGTTTTCTGATGCCCATGACATTCCAATCGACATCCAGGCCGACTACTCACACGACGTTCACACCATGGGAGACGAGGTAGAGGATGATCCCGATGCAGCTCTTCCTCCACCAGATATATCGCGCCACCGGGCAGATCGTTCTAGCTCGCGAAATGCGCATAATCGTCTTTCCCAATCTTCTCTCACCGCGCTGCCTCGCATGGCAAATGCAAAAATAGCGATCCATCGACTTTCCCGCACCACATGGGATGACATAACGAAACAGATGCCCTGGGCTTCGACTCCCACTTCATCTGCGTCCGCGCCTGCGAAAACCACCATACGACAGGAGAAGCAGGCGAAAAAGGCCAGGATGAAAACGGCAATGAGAGCTTTTTGGGGAAGAATGAGGAGGCACATCGAGAATTGACAGTTGCCACTTATTTTCTCTTGCCTGGTCTTTTGTTACGACTTGCACTTTTTTCCCACTGTCGCCCTCTCACTATATTTCTTTCTTCTCCTACTCTCAAAAGGCCGAGTTCGGAATTCAGGACGAAATCAAGGCACATACGAGGGACTCACAGGACGAATAACGATACGAGGGAAGGAGGACAACACCAAGAATTCCGGAACAAACCCCAGCGACCTTTTATATTTATTGCATTTACTGCACAATCCGTACACACTACATTACACTACACTACTGTTGTTTTTCTCCCTTCTTTCCCACATCCTTGTCTGAACACCATACACAATCTCGGAGTTTTTACATGCATGTATGTATTGATTGGTATTGAGTGACGGCGGTATCAGGACAGGAAGATATAGAGAACCTGACCTAGCGGATCCCTGTTCATGGGATGGACGAAGGGATGACTGGATGGATGGATGGACTGATGGATATCTATGAATGAAGCATCTTGGGCTATTATCTACGAGTACGAAGGATACATGGGATATTATATGTATGTATTTTGTATGAGGTACGAAAAAGGAACGAAACTTGACAGAGCGGATCATTATCGGTAGGTAGGGTATATAGTTGAAAGATATTTATTCTCTGGAAGCACCTACACCTACACGTTCAGCTACACCTACATCTCCTCAAAGTACCGATGTCTCTCTCTGTCGCTGTCCCTATAGTCTACAGTCCGCAGTCTCTACTCGGTACAGAATAGGGCAGAGGCGCGAAGTAATGCATTACTTCCTGCCTACCTGCCTACCTGCCTACTCACCTATGTACATACACCTACCCTAGATATTATCTTCTTCTTCTTCTTCCTCCTCTTCCTCCTCTTCCTCCTCCTCCTCCTCCACATCCCCCGGGACCTAATCTGTTCTGTTCTGTTCTGCTCGTTTCGCCGCTGCTTGGAACGGACTACCTTCCTTCCTTCCTTTGCTTTTCTCCTACACCTCCCCATGCTGCTCGGTCCTCTATAAGGGATATAGCTCTCTCAACGGAAACGACGCGTTGGAGGGCGACGAACGCAGACATCAAGGCCATGAAAAAGAGTGTCATTTGCATGTATGCTAAATTGGACAAAGGCTGAGTGAGAAAACATTGGGCTCATCTATCTATATACAAACAAGCTCGACCGTCAGCTTGACGGCGGAGACGGCATTGGCGGTATCGGTGGTGGCGGTGGTGGATGCTGTCATTCCCAGATGTCTGGTGTCTTGTGCCTGTGCCTGTATTGTATGTGAAGTGCAGGATCACAGACCCTGTTGCGCTTGGTGTTGCCCGGCCTGTTCGTCCACATGTTGCTCTCGACGAGGCGGGCCCTGGTTCTGTGTGCTCATGTCTCGATGTTCCAACCCGCGCTTTACACCTCTGCCACCATAAACTGTACATCCTAGAGGCTGAAAAGAGAATGATAAAATCGGTTGTCGTCGAATCGAACCTAGTCCTCACGGCTCCTATACACAAGACGCCCTTTCGCTCAAGAGTCCAGAAGTTATTTTGTGCTCGAACTTTCCCCGGTCCATATTCAACCAAACAAGCTGGCCCCTCCGCTGCTCACTGCCTCAATCTCCTCTTCTGACCATGCCTTTCGCCGGAACCTGGCGGGCAGCTCCTCCCTGTCGAAGAATTCTCCTTGTTTCGGTTTAATGGGCCCCAGTGCTCTTCCTGGGGTGCCTCCGATGGCGCCGTATGCCATTGACGAGCCCGAGGAAGCGGCAGTGGAGTACGAGGAAGATGGCACACCGCCGTTGCCACCGCTACCCCTTAGAGGACCATGTTGTTGGGCTTTGGACCGGTAAGCAGCGAAGCTTTCAGGGAGACTGTGGGTGGGCGAGGCAGGGTGGGCATGAGGAGTGTGGTCGACCGATTCTGCGGAGGGATATGCGCGTTAGTAGTTGTCAGGTGAGACGCGAGAGACAGAGAGGTACGTACTGGGTGCTGAACGTTTTCCAATAAATTTTATGAGGGGGGTGCGTTGGTGCGCAGAACGGAGAATGAGGGAGGGGCGCATGGTGGGTTGTTAGAGCTTGGTGTCGAGACTGTGCTCGGCAACGAGGTATTCAAGAGCTGTAGACAGATCCCTATCCGTGCTTGGCTATATGTTCAAGTCGTCTACTGCACCTGTGAGTACTAGGTTGGGTTCTTTCTGCTTCCTCAGATCCGGCTGGCGATTTCTCGCGTGCAGCCTTTCGAGCGGCCGGTGCTCGGACAAAAGCAAAGTGCGAAGGAGGAAAAGCACGTGGCAGAGGAGTTGCAGGCTGTTCTTTCGTATCTAGAGGGAGAACGGCGAATAAGGATCGGTTTATATACGGGAGGATTAACAGGTCAAGGCGGTCGAGCCTGTGGAAAGAAATATTGCTGATTGCTGCGTGGTTTATAGTTGCGAGGGTAGAGCGAGCTTCGGGGGAAGCTTTGTTGAAGCTGCTCAAAAAAGTTCGAAATTCGGAGAAAGGCGTAACGCCCTTGCACCCATCACATCGACGGGACGGCCTTGTTTTGCCGATTATTCGGGGAAGAAGCTTTTCCCACTTCAACTACGAGGCACCTCGTACACTCAGACTCGTGGTCTGGCTGCTTCAGTCGCTTCCGAACCAGTTGTCTGACTCGAACTAATGGTTCATGAACTCGTGCCTCTGGGTGTCTTTGCTTGATCTTTCTCTTGTGTCGATGATGTGCTCGCTTTGACTGGCCGCCAAGTCCGATGCTCTGCCTGCACCGTCACATTTCACCCGACCAAACTTGAGAACATGTCCGCTCATTCCCCAGCAACGATACAGCAACCGCCACTACTCAGATGATGTGTCTCCTGACAGACTCCAACTGCCACAGCGACCCACGTCTCCCCCCCGAGCACGACATACCGGCAGATTATTGAATCAACCCATCCACCGATTAATCAACGCCCTGAATACCTCGGATATACCAAATTCCTGAAACCCGCGTCGCCATGCACGAGTTTGCTCTCTACGGCCAAGTGCGCAAGCATGACCACCGTCGAATGCTCCAGCAACTAGCCGGATTCTCACGTATGCAACCCCAAGATGCCAAAGAGATCCACCTGGTCTTCAAGGCGCGCCAGCCTCCTGGAGTCGATCTCGTCCAGTCGATTGGTGCGTCTCATTTGGCCAGCCAGCAACAGCAGGACATGCAGCGTGTTAAGAACATGCTCAATGCCGGTCTCTACTATGTCCAACTAGTTGGTGAGGTTTCGTCGGAGAAACAGCCTAGACTTGCGGGAAATGGCGACGTGACCATGGCAAATGGCAATGGTGGCCAAAATCCACAAGAGTCAAGGATGAGCTGGTCGTTTGAATTCAAGGACACTCCGGACGCGGGCAAGCAGGCAGTGAGCTCAAGGCTGATATCCAGGACGTCAATGACTGACGGCGACTTTGTCAAGTTTCTCGACCAGTTTGGCTATGAGTATGACCTCTTTTGTCTTTTCAAAGGCAAGATCCAGGACTGACGATGATGCAGCTACGTTTCTCGCTACATGGTTGTTGGGTCAAGGTTCTATGATCACGATACCACCATTTTCCTACACAAAGTACTACAACTCCCCCAAATAGCTGCAGATGAAGCTATCTCCGACAGGTCGTTCTTATCGAACATTGACCAGCTCCCCGAGCTGGATAGCTCTGGTGGATATGCCCTCCAGGCATCGATTGATGTGGTTGATGGAAACAACCCAGAACTTAAAGAACGAGCAACTAGGCAACTACTGGCCATCAAGGAAGCGTTGAGGCAGGCAGTCGATCTGTCACCAGGCGACAGATTGGCGCTGGATACGCGGCTACCTATCACTTCACGTAGAACTTGAACCCATTGGAAGATTAGAGAGCAACATGACGCCGATTATGGCAGGCAGCCCTGCCGCTCGAGGTGTTGTTGGCTCAGCCCGTTGCACGTGACGTGAATATAATGGGTAAATGACGTACGTCTTTTCAAACGCGTTGGTCGCGTCGATTTCTCTCAAGTCTCATCTCACCTTTCATCTCCAGCACTTGAAAAGATTGGCCAATTTTGACTATCGCTTTCAACACTCTCTCTTCGCTAACCCTGGCGTCTCGTTCATGGCTGACTCCATTGAGTCGCCTTACTCCTCCTGTTTTGCGTACCAATCCTCAACTCTTTAGCACAGGTCTCTTCATACGGTCCTACACCATGAAACGATCAGCCCCTCCCCAGGCTGGCTCTGTCTCCCCACCCCTGATTAGGCGTAAAATCGAATCGGCTACAACCAGTATGATTGGGAGAATGTTGTAACACCGTAAGATACTGACCAAAGCTAGGCAAGGCTGTGGCTAGTTTCTTCAAACCAGCGTCGCAAAAAGAACCGGAGAAACTCGTGTGGCGGACCGTTAACCACAGCCTCATCATTGGCCAGTACAACGTGCCCCAGAAACCACCTCAACCACGGACACTTCCTGTCAAGATTGCAGCCTTCGACCTGGATGACACTCTCGTGACTCCCAATTCTGGAAACAAATGGGCGAGAACTGCAGTGAGTTGGAAGTGGTGGGACCCATCAGTCCCTGGCCGACTGAAATCTCTCCACGATGATGGCTATCTCCTAGTCATTCTCAGCAACCAGTCAGCCATCAGTCTAAAAGATAATCCCAAAACGCTCAAAAAGGACATGGCCAGCCTGGCAAACTTCAAAAACCAGGCCAGTTCAATTCTGAAACAACTCGACCTACCAGTCAGTATCTACGCCGCAACGGGCCAAGATCGATACCGCAAGCCTCGAGTAGGGATGTGGGAGGAGATGCTGGAAGACCACGATCTTCACGCAGACGGAGCAGTGGACATGGCACACTCGTTCTATGTGGGCGATGCGGCCGGAAGAGACAAGACCGACAAGAGACGAAAAGATCATGCAACGTCGGACAGGTGCTCTCTAACATCACGCATTGGGGAAATAGTATGCTAATTGCCGCTAGGGATCTTGCCGCAAATATCGGCATTCAGTTTCACACACCAGAAGAATTCTTCCTCGACGAGACCACCGAACCGTACGAGCACGTCTTTGACCCAACAAAGCACCTTGAGCTCGCAAAGCCTTCTTGTTCTGCTGTGAATGACGCACAGGCAAGTTTGATATCAACGCCGTTCACGAAGAATAGCCCCCATGAACTGGTCATTTTCTGTGGGTCACCAGGGGCTGGAAAAAGCACATTCTATTGGAACGTACTCCAACCACTCGGTTATGAGAGAGTCAATCAGGACATCCTCAAGACTGTGAGTCTCATTCCTTTCCCTCGATTGGCAGTCTTCGTTTAGGAGACCGGATTCAGTAACACGACATCCTACCATTTTAGCCCCTCCCCTACATATGTGGACTTCATCAAGGGGAACTTGTTTTAAGCTGAGACATATTGCTAATTCCGTACAGCGCGACAAATGCATCAAGAAAGCAAAGGAACTCTTGCAAGCAGGGCTATCCGTGGCAGTTGGTACGTTTGTTCTTCTTGTTGTTCGAAGCGTTGGCCTGCTCAACCTCGCTTTTTCCTCGACAGTAGCACGCAGATCACTTGCTGGACAGGGACAGAATGACATGTCATGCAGAAATGTTGTGCAGAGGGCTGTCTGTCGAGCCATGCATGAGATGTCACTTCTGCACCACTCTACACAGCATCTCGTGTTACCCTTGTCCCGTCACCAGTCCCAGACCTTCCCCAGATTCCGTCGTAACCACAATGACTCGGTCCCCTTGAGATAGGATCCACTCCTCACATCATGCGCCAGATTCTCATCTAGCCTGACTCCCTCTATCCGCTCTTCCCCGCCTCGTCCTCACATTTTGTCTACGTCTTTTGCTGCCTTTCACCGCATGGAACCATCCTCGTTCTTGCTAACTTTCGTCCTGGAATGGCAGATAACACAAACGCAGACATCGAAACCCGGGCGTACTGGGTAAAGGTAGCCCGTGAATTTAATGTCCCTATCCGCTGTGTCCGCTTCACAGCCTCGACTCGCCTCGCAGAGCATAACGATGCTGTGAGGGCAATGAATCCAAATACAGTGTGTACCACTCCTTGTGTCAGGTTTGGTGTATCGACAATTTTATCTAAGCTAGATACGGATGGCTGACAACTTCTCATGTTCATAAACAGATGAACCCCGAAAATCGCACTCAACTCCCTGGTATCGCATTTCGGTCCTTTGTGCAGAGGTTCCAGGAACCTAAGCTCGAGGAGGGCTTCGAGGATATCTATAAGGTCGACTTTGAGGTAAGTCCTACGTCGCCTTGTTTTCTTGTCAACTTTTCTAGTCCTCCACTCTGGTTGTCGCTTTTTACTGACGCGATGCCAAATCAAGTTCAAGGGAACCGAGGAACAGAAAAAGCTCTGGGCCAGGTACTGGGTGTCAAAATTTTCGACGTGAGTGAGGCAGTGCAGAAGAACACGTACCTTGCGGCTCAGTCACAACTTCAAACCTCCAGCGACCGTTATCTGCGACATCACACATACTTCGACACGTGTAACAGTTTGTCTAGGCTACCTCCATGCTATCAGTGAACCTGAATACATGGCATGGTACACTGCAGCTGTCACGATCTCAGTTTTACTACTCTTACCTTACACTACCTGACTCAAACCCATCCATGCGGCGAAAGTTAGGAACGTTAACGTATGCTACATACCACATCAAGCACTGCTATGATCCATGATATACCTGCGAAGTCACTGGAGACTGGAATTGCTGGTCGTCTGCTTGTGGCCTTCGATTGGTCTGCAGGTGAGAAAGACCCTACTCGGATACCTTTCGCGGCAGGTGGGCGCGGTTCAGAGCGCACCGGACACGGACCAGCAAGTCTACTCGGCCGATGGTTCGTTTGGAGCTTTACAACTACTTTCTGTGGGGTGGGAGCACGAGGGAAGAACCACCAACGGCAGACCTGTACCAAGATACCTCGACAAGATCGCACTGATTCCGGCACGGCTACCCAGGAGTTACTGATATGTGGACGATACGAGGCCGTTACAAAAATCAAACGGGTCTCTCGATAGTGCACAGAAAAGACAGTGCACCGCATCTTCATTGGTGGGAAAAGCCACTATCAACGCTCTTTGAGGCCAAGACGGTGTGTAATTGGGTGACACGGGTGGGAAAATCACGAATTCTACCACAGCACTGATACAATGTCGTGATTGCGGTTAGCCAGGTCTTGGTTTGCCGACCATCGGACCCACAGGTCAACAGATTTCACGCCTCTGAGACGGATGTTGTTTGCCTCGAGCTTTTCATCGAGGGAGGGAGCGAGCCCCGGTGGGGAAAGAAGCTTCTGACCGCCGCGACAAGACCTCAAGACTCAAGGGATATGATGATGCGTTTGTTATTCGAACCCAGCAAAAGTGCGATGTGTGCATGTGGAAGCTTCTGGCAATCCTTGCGTCGCTGGTAGATTTAGCGGACGCTCCCCGGTCAGAAACCTCATGGCATGCAAATGTGGAGATGGAATAGACTTTTCCTCCGATGACTATCGATTGCGGCTTTCCCCAACGATTGCAACATCCCTGCCCATTGGAGACCGTTGCCTCGTCTCGGAGGTTTCAAATGCGTTGTGGCTGCAAGTCCTAGACAAGAAGACTGAGATATACATACCTTTGAAGCTACTCGGTACAGCTTGTGGATTCCTTGCGAACCAGGAACCAGGTACCTCTTGTACATGTAGTGTGCGGCAATCATCGAGACTCGGAGGATGCTCGGCCCTTGTCTGACTCCTTCAATAGCATTCGTGGGCAGTAAATTTAGTCACTGAACGGTGAGATGGAAGGCTGAGGCCCTTGTCCCAATCCTCCAAGTTGTGCATGCTGAAAATATATCTCCCAATTCTTCGTTCTTACTCTGCGGATTTATTGTCCATTACAGGAGTAATGATGCCATGCGTCCGGACGAATGATCATAGCGGCGATTACAGTGGAGCGATCGAACGCAGGTAGGTACTCGTACTATTCGCAGGCACACAGGTCAAAGATGGAGAGGGAAAAGGGACCAGGAGACGACATTGAGGGCCACGAATAACAAGCTGGTGAACATGTCCTGAACGCAACCGATTGGCCGTTGCAGCCAACTTAGCGGTCGGGCAGTTTTTTTGGACCTTGCGAGGACGAGGGGTTCGCTTCGCATCCTTCGTGGTTTCTCGCGAAGCTGTGATGCTGGTCAGTCAGTGCCTTTGAGGAAAAGGAGGAGAAGCGGGCCTGACTGACACCTGCATGTCCGATACTCCCACAGGTCATATATAGCTCAAGACACGGGGGAATCCTTGAGAAGTGCTGTACCTACATGAGCCGTTGGGAGGAAGATAGAAGTGGTCTTTGGGAGTGTACAAGGTACCAAAGGGAGTGCTACCAGGGGTACGAGGTAGTATTGGGTCGCTTGTCGCGTGCAAACTCTGCAAGTCGGAGACAGGCCAGTGGTGAATCATCCCATGCATCAATACAGAAGGTGGGAATGAGAATGGTGCGCTACTTCATACTACGACGAGTAGTAGATACTAGAACGAACAGAATGTGGTCGCACTGGCTACTACTAGGTACTGGGTATATCTGATACCGTTCACGGTTCCTGCATCCAGCTACTACGCCAGTGCCTTGCAGAACAAGCTAGACCAGGCACTCAACACCCTCTAGGTAGCCCTCCACCACGGGCGGAAGCATGAAAGCGGCACGGGTGAAGGCACAAGCGCCATCTCACAGCGTTTGGTGGCATGGGCTTGCATGGGCTAGGACAGTGCTAGACAGCTGCAACAAACAGCGGCTCCGGACTTTGGAAAAATAATAATCTGTGTCTTGGAACTGCTTGGTCCACAGGCTGGATTCCGCCCACTAGAATTGCTTGCTGTAGCTAAAGCCGGACAAAACGACGCATGCGACAACCCGGTCGTTGTACCTGCAAGGCAGCCTCAGCCGTCACTTTCTCTTAGCTTTTCTTTGCGTATCTCTAGAAGGAGAGGGGGGCTGGTAACAAGGGACCAAGAGAGGACCAACCGCAAACACTGCCGACAAGCCACAAACCTCATCGTCAGTGGCTCTCTGGCTTGCTTGAGCATGCCACATCCCCCCATGTCCAGCAAAGCAGACAACACCCTCCCCCAGCTACAGAGCTCACACAAATATAGCCCAGACATGTCGCAGTAGAAGCCGGCAGTGCGCACCAGACCAGCTCTCTTCTCAACTTACTCGTCTTCTCTTGCAATCCAAACGGTTCTCCTAAACCCATCCTACCACGAAGCTGGACAAAACACCCACGGCTCCTCTCTCGGTCATTTGTGAAGGAATAGGTGGTGCGATTGGATAGAGACTCAGAGAATTTAAGTGTATGGGTGAGTGAAAGATCCGAACACTAGAAGTGGCAGTGAGCTTTGTTTGGCGACCCGGACTGTGCATGCCTCACCCGTTGTCGTCGGTGGCGGCCATTCTGGTTCTGGAGAAAGCCCTGATTCGAGCCCTTGCTTCCTGTTGCCTCTGGGTGGTTTGGGGCTTTTCCTATCCTGGCCGGGGCTCGGTGGACGGGGCTCGACGGGTTGACGCGGGGGCTTCTTATCCCAGGTGGGCTGGTGGCCGTTCAGTTGCGGTTGGCTGTGGGTGGCTGTTGGGTGGCTGCTGTTGAGTTTTGAAAGTCTCAGAGACCAAGACCAAAACTAACAGGGTCAGACCCTTGCCCCCGCAAGCGAGCAGCGAAGGATTGGCCACAAGCGACGCTGCATGGAGTCGGCCCAACAGCTGCCACAGCCAACGGGCCCAGGGTCACGGCACACAACTTTTTCCTCTGTCCACTGAGCACTCAGGCTTCTTCGCTCCAAGTTCGACTTGTCAACATCCCTCTCTTGCTTCCTCCCTTCTGTCTGTACACATGGCACTCGACTGATGGAACCTTTGCAAACAGGCAGAGCGTCCTCTCCTCAGCCTCGACCAGTCAATCTGTGTCTGGCCTGAAGCACTCGCTCTTGATTGATCCAGCCTTCACCACCACCGCCACTGCGAGAGCAAAACTGCCATTAACCTCAACCACCGAGACAAACCTCGTCCGCTACCCAATTCACTTGAGACCACCTTCACCAGCCCGTCATGCGCGCAGCTGTCCGACTGTGACGTGACCCAACCCGGTCTCAATCCTCTTCGATTCTATTTCCTCTTGTTATCGAACACTCGCTCGACTGATCCAATTCGCCCTACTCTTAAGAATAATATACCCTCCAACTACCTATACCTCAATATGGAACATACCACTCCATATTCCTTCGACACGCTGCCTCCTGCCACTCGGTCTTCCGCCTCTTCAGTCGATACATCCTCGCCAACGGTGTCCATGTTCTCCAAGGGCCATTCTTCCCGAGGTTCGGGCTCCTCCATTGCCTCGTCTCCCGTTCCCCGAGAATCTCTTGACATGTTTGGTGTGCCTAAGCGGTTGGAAGATGTCTCTGAGGAGCCTCAGGAAAGAGAGGGGATTGACGGTTACACGTTGGTCAACGACGGCGCATGTGACTGGAGTGACTATGACAAGGCTTTTTCAAGTGACTACAGCCACTTTCCACCTCCCACTGCCCCGGTGCAGCCCGACTGGATCTTGGCGATGCCCAGTGACAGTTCACTCTCCTCACAGCCTTATCATACGCCGCGTCGGAGATCGGCAGAGCAGCTCTCGTCAAACCAAGGGCACCGCTTCAGCAGCAAATTTGGGTCGTTGTCGCGACGGTGGAAGAACAGATCGGCCGCTGGGCCCCAGCTCTCAATCGTTACACACGCCAGCGCTTCTGCTTCTCGTTCAGGATCTTTGACCTCGTCGCAGATCTGTAGCCCAGCTCTCAGTGCTGTTTCCAAGCACGAAGGTGTCCTGCCATCAACCTCAACTGTGCCGGTGACGAACGATGTATCCGTGGACGCTGATGTGGGACCAATCGATATTGCACAGAAGACGCCAGAACGCGAGTCATCAGAGTCAGTACAAGCTACCACACCACTGTTACCACCCATGTTTTCCGAGTTCTGCCAGAGAGACGAGCCTGTCTGTTCTCCTCTTCAATCACCGGCTATTGCGCCCACTCCTGCCGCCTTGAGCTCTCGGACGTCATTTGAGGCTCCGTGGTCATGCCTACCATCCCCTCCTTTGTCGACGAAGCCATCAATGGTTTCTATGCAGACGAGATCCCGTGCAAACACGTTGAACAGTTGCGCTTTTGGCGACATCCCTCCATTGCAGCTTTTAGAAGACCCTTCTGATCCATGGGCTGTTCGCCTAGGTCATGCAAACTATACGATACACCCTGAGCCGTATACGCCTGAGACTCTGGACTTGGATTCCTACGCCGAGTTTCGCAAAAACTGGAATCAGGCGCGAATACACTATGCTAAGCACATCACAAGGACTGCTGAGCACTATGGATCGACTTCCAAAGTCTACAAGCTGACCGAAGAGAAATGGGCATCGATTGATGACTCTTGGAAGCGACAACATGACCTTATGAGGACTGCCCTGGCTCCGGTCCTGGCTCGCCTGAGCGACGGATCAGAGACACAAGATTCCAGCACATCAAGCTCTGTGCTCGAGAAGCCTCTTACTCGAGTGGCTGTGCCGGTCATCGACGACAAGAGTGGCAAATTTCCCAAGCTTGGTGACGGCGAGATCGTCGGACCAATGTCTGTTGCTCCTCCTCGTGCTTTTTACGACTCCAATAAGGGCATCGAGATCGGGAGCCCACCCATTTCACCACACAAACGAAAGCTCTTCAAGGTTCTTTCCGATATCTTTCGCAATTGATATGTACAAATCCCTTACCATCCCTGCCACTTGTACACAAGGCCCTCACCATACCTGTACACATTTTCTTTCGGGTTATACAGAACCATTTGTCTACCATTATAATGGCTGGCGTTGTCGAGACAGAGACCTACAGGCGCCAAATGCACGACCGCAAGGTCTTGGAAAAGGAAAAGAAACACCATACTAGGGAGCAATCCCTTGTCACCAACACCTGCTATGCCTTTTTACCTGATAGCAACAGCAGCCATATTTACCAACTTGTTCTCCACGGCTTAACGACGACCACGAAAAATATTAACGCTCCTTTTACAACATGATCCTCATCCAGCAACAGGATTCTATTTCCAGATGATGACGACTTGCAGCCTTCAGCACAGCGAAGCGATCTTGCTTTTTACCTCTTTTTGTTTTGATTGCTTTCAGTGCGTGGTAGCTTCCAAAATCGGTAAACGGAAAAGTCGTATTCCGGGGTTTCCAGGTCTACGGGTTGACAAGGGGTGGAGGATGCAAATGGAGAGAAGATTCTCCTACACATGGCGGCTTTCATACATCAACTAGACGGACGTGCGACTCCTCGTGAGAGTGAGTGAGTGAGTGAGAGGACACACGGTAGACGGATGATACAGATGTATGCTAGCGCAGTCGGACTGTCATTTTTGCCGCTTCGGTGATTTGCGAGCCAGAGCAGGGGCATGGGGGCGCGAGGGCGCGAGGGCCTGAAGGTGTTGGGGCCGGAAAGGAGATTTGGTGTCGGTGAGATCAAGATATACGGCGTGCAAAACATTCGGTAGAAATGGCAGGAATCTGAATGATTAGAAAGAATGAAAAAAATCAGAGAAAATATGAAGAAAATCAAGCAAACTTCATTCATTCTTTGCTCTTATCTTGCATGTGAATCATATTATGCTGTGTGCATTTACTATAACTGTAGAAGGAAAAGGAGAAGGAGAAGTTGTCTGTTGTCTGTCTGTTGTCGTGTCTGACTCTGTGTCCACTTGTGTCTATGTACCCTCGGTCAACAGCTCAACAGCTCCTGATACATGCAGTGACTTGAACGCAGCTGTACATGGCCTTCAGAGCTTCGCTTCCACCCCACTGTCGTAAGAACCATCCTTCATCCTTCAGTACAGATTCCCTCCTGTTCATTGTGCCAAACATGAACAAATATCTCTCGTATCTACATGGATAATCTGCCTGCATCCTGGATCAGTACGTTGGTTGTGGCGCAAGGAGGAGAGTCCATTGACGGAGTCAACTTACCAGAGCTGCAACTGACAAAGAGGTCCTGGAGACCGCCCTCCCCACCCTCTTTTCCAGAAAAATAGTCGTACAAGGCTGAAGAACATTATCGTGATTCGTGACTCGTGATTCGTGATACGTGAATAGTTGTAGTTATAGTTGTACAGGGGTATGATGCCTCAATAATGTAGCCCAAAAAAATATAGTTGTCCGGATATGTTGAACTCATGGTGCAAAATTCGAATATGCCGTTGATTGAAATGAAGTCGTGAGATGTGGTGAGACGTGTCGACCGTCGAGGTCCTTGACACTTTTGCTGAGGAATGAATCGAAGATCGAAACGTCGATGTGTTGTGTTTGATGAGGAGGTCAATGGCCAAGAAGTTGGACCTGATCGCCACTCTGACTCTGCAGAGAGATTCTGGAAGCCACCCTGCCACCCTCTTTCCAGAAGATTGTGTGTTTGAGAGTTCCACTCGTTGGTAGTGTTGAACCCAGTGTAAACCTCAGGAGTTTGTGTTGTATGCTGCTCGGGGATGGAGGAGATCTGCTTGTGTTCCTGAGCAGGTGTTGGAGATTGTGGCTCTCTGGAGAACAAGAGCGATGGTGAGATTGCCGTTCAGTGTTGGATGTGAACAAGACTTCTGAGAACCACCCTACCACCCTCTCTCCATATTTCATTGGTTTGAAATAATATGAGGTTGACATCTTGTGCCAATAGTCGGACAGAAGGCTTGAATGGCGATTGAGTTTGCAGATTGTGCTGAAGTTCGTTGTGTGACAAGCCGAGATGTGTTGAAAGAAGTCCTAGAGCCACCCCACCACCCACTTTCCAGGATTGTCCAAGGGACGGATCATGTTACTGATAACTTGAGAGATTGTAGAGGGTTGATGATGTGGTGTTGATGTCGATGTGGTGTTGATGTCGATGTGGTGTTGATGTCGATGTGGTGTTGACGTTGATTGCCATACAGCCTTGAGACTCGGCGCCGAACTCTGAGAAAACCTGAAACCTCTGAAAACCAGTCACACTCAACCGCCCACTTTCCAGGACGCCGTCGATGAATGAGTGAGGTGCAAGAACGTGAAGCCGGAGATGTCGAAGTAGACTGAATGTTCTTGATGATGTCTTGCTTTGGTAAAGCGATGTGATCCGCTCAAACAGCAGCAGCAAGTGTTTAAGACACGGTCGAGACTTTGTGAAGTGAGACGGATCATGGACGACGAAGAAACCCAGGAAAAACCACCCTGCCACCCACTTTCCAGGCTTGATAGCCTCATTGGGGTTTCTTCGAGATGTTATCAATCCAGACGCGGTGGATTGGAGGAACGTAAGCTGTACAATGTTCCAGACAAGAACTGACTGAACATGCCATTGTTTGATCTGCAGCTCAAACAGTGACTGAACGGCCCGAGCTGTCTTTTGCAGTTGCAAGCATCGTTGGTTGATGTCGAGGAGGTTGATGTCGAGGAGGTTGATGTCGAGGAGGTTGATGTCGAGGAGGTTGATGTCGAGGAGGTTGATGTCGAGGAGGTTG